TACAGTGATCTAATCTTGAGATTACGAGCGCATGCACCAAGGTAGTGAGCGCCCCCATGTCGAGGTAGGGTCGCAGCCGGGCAATCCGCCAAAGATGGAAAAATGCGGTGCGGACTACCGACGCCACCTGAGTTTCCATGGTGAGCGTCGGGTCCAAATATATGCCGAGGCTGCGGACCCCACTCTTCGTGGCCAAGGTGGTCCCCCCAAATGTGAGAGAGCCACCTACCACAGGGGCACCCACCCTCAGAACTTCCGTCTTATCCGGATTCAGCCTCAGTCCGTTCTCCTGCATCCATTGCAGTACGGCCGCAGAAGCAAAAGGTGGAAGACAGCAAAATAGACCAATATGGTGTCACAAAAAGCTCACTGAGGATTTGAAAACATATAGGAAATGGAAGGAAGGTCAGGCAACAGCAAACAGCAGGGATGGTGTTAGGAAGATAAAAGCTGAGTTTAGCAAGAGATGCTAAAATCAACAAAAAAAGCATTTGTCAGGTATGTGATAGCAAAAGACAGAAATCAAATAATGGCTTAGCTACTCAGTGGAGATGGGAAAGTGGTAACAGGCAACAAAGAAAAGACCTACGTGCTCTATTCCTACTTTAGCTTCGTCTTTCACTAAAAGGCAGTCTATGACCGCCCCCCCCCCAGAGGAATGTGAAGTACAAGTGGGAAGGAGCATGATTGCAGCCTGAGATTGGTAAACAAATAGTCAAGGAATACCTTACTATAGTTGTGCCTCGCTTAACAATTGCCTTGCTTAACGAGGAAATTGCTATATGATTAGGTTTTTGCAATCACAAAACAATGTTTTAAATGTTTTTTTTTTCATTTAATGATTGGTTCCCTGCTTCGGGAACCGATGTTCGCTTTACAACGATCAGCAAACAGCTGATCGTCGGGTTTCAAAATGGCTGCCGGCTGAAGAAAATGCCCCCCCCTGTTTTCTAGGACAGATTGCTCGCTTTACAGACACTGAAAAAGGCTGCCGTATGGAGGATCTTCGCAGCCCATTGGAACGCATTGAACAGTTTTCAATGCGTTTCAATGGGTTTTTTCATTTCGTTGGACGATGTTTTCGCTCTACAGCAAAAAGATCTTCACAGGCTTGAGTACTGGACTGAAAACAACAGAATTAAATTTAATGGGGACTAATGCAAATTATTTTTGTGGTCTCTGTGAATCACACATATGGGTTTCTTCTGTGCCTGTGCAGAAGCCGTTAGAATATTCTAAAACTTAAACATAGTTAAAACTTAAACATATGTTAAATATTAGTTAAAATATAAGTTAAATAAATAAACATAGAGCCATTAGACCAGCCCACCCATTGTGCATGTCTGCACACCCACTTCCATCTCTCATTTCCCTTGAGCTACCACTGAGGAAGCTTCTAGGAACGTTTACTGGAGCTAAACCTTTTTCTTCTTCTAAAACTTACGTGAGCCAATTTGTTTTCATTGTTCTTTGTATTTTTTTGTCTTCATAAGTTCCCACTTTAAAAAACACATTTTTTCATTTTTAAAAAATGCAAACACGACTAAATTGAGACTAACTTTGTGTACATTTATTTATCTATCATGAGAAGGCAAAATTAATTGTAAAACACAATAATGCTAGGAAAGGTTGAAGGTGACAGGAAAAAGAAGACCAAATAATGTGTGGATTGATCAGTAAAGGAACCACAGCTTTGAGTTTTCAGGAGCTGAGCACGGCTATAACTACAGGACTTTCTGGAAGTCACTAGTGTTGCCCTCAGTCAGAACCAACTTGATGGCTCATAACATGAACAATATCCACTGAAGTACAAACCAAATGCATTTCTTACCCATATCTAGCTGAAGTAATAGATTAAATATCTACCTATTACGTGAGAGTACTCGGGGTTATATAAACCAGCCTATTTTGCAACTGCATTCAGAGAGGCAGCTAGTACATTGAGGTGTTAATAATATGCTGGCTGTTGAGCTTACCTGTCCCTGCAATCAACAACACTCTTCCACAAAGCCTCTTGATCTTTGGGTCTATGCAGTAGTATGCAAACAGTAATCATTAATAAGAATATATGTTCATGTGTACAGCCTGATAATCCATATGATATTTTGGCACTGGTGATTTTTCAACAAATCCGTGCTGATTTTGCTTTTAGTACATTTTGCCATTTCTTCTAAACCACAGAACAAGATTCTGTTAAATATTTTCAAATCTGCTCCTCCCTTTGGAGTGTCATTATCTCAGTTTAAAAGGAGCAAGCAGTTGGGAGGGACTGTTGCTCAAGACGTGATCTCCACCCTTGATGCAAATTTAAGTGGGGAAGAGACAAAGTAGTATACTCGTTTGTGCTGTTGCCTGATCGTCTGCAGACTTCTCAGGTATGTGCAGTGTTTGTTGCAGTTTTAAGTCATTTCCCATATGTTCTTTGTACATGTGCACTTTATAATTACTTATAGCTGTTGAGCAAAGGTGATTGAAAAGTACTGGCAGCTTTGTAAATGGCAGCTGTGGGTATGATTTGAAACTTTGAACTTTGAAAAACATTAACAAAGTACACTTATGTTCTTCTCAGTTTGTATTATGACTCTTAATACACAGGAGCTTAGGAAGTACAGTACCTAGAAATACTTGAAACATATCAGTTGTAACTGTACGAAAATGTGTGTGTGTGTATGTGTACAATCCAGAAATAGACTCCTTACTCAGGAAGTGGTGTCAGGATATCCTTCAGAGCTTGGGAAAGTCATTTTTAGACTATATATCCCAGAATCTTCTAGCCACATGACCATTAGCTGGGGTCTCTTGTGTCTTAGTCAATTACTCTATCCACTACACTACGCTGGGTACCCAGCTTACGCATACCTTAAAATAAAACATTAAAATACTTCAAGACTTTGAAAAAAAATGGTTCTACTCATCTCTTTACTGTCCTTTCATTTTAAGGTCTATGTGTGAGTTTTTGCATTAATTCCAAGGATGGGACCTCAAACATTGTGGTTCAAGTTAAGCTTTATGTATGGCATGATTTCTTGACCATGGGAGAACCTAGATTGACTATATCTTAACAGTGTTTTACCTTCTTTGTGCATAGGGCCTTACAGATGAATATTCAAGATTCAGACAACCCACAGCTTGTCTCAGCTTGTTTGGTGGAATCAGCTGCAATTGTCCATATCTCAATAAACAAACCCGCATCTAGCAAATACGGTGGGGAGGGGGAATAGCAATGAGGAGTGTGAGGAGAGTTGTATGCCCTACGCATCTCTGTCCCCTGCCTACTAAAGCAGCCTGCTGTTTTCAAGGTTTCCGCAGCCTATGCTTGAGTAAATTCAAATGCCAGTTTGGCTGGTGTCTGTTCAGGAGAGGGGCAGGGACAGAATCTTGTCCTTGCTTCAGGCTGGACACATCCATATAATAAAGAGGTGAGGAACAATTTCAGAGTAAGGAGCTTGAATTCTATGTCATCTCCTGAAATACTCTGTAGACCAGACAATATTGAGGTGCATGGCCACGCTCTCTGATGGCATGAGGACCCAGGCTGAACTCCAAGGAGGGGCATGATATACTCTGAATAAACACTTGTTGAAGGAATTGGGTGTGTGTGTATGAGCCAGAGGCCTCCATGGGCTACACTCCAAATCCTGAACACCAGATGAGTTCACGGAGTTAAGGCCCCTTCTTTGATTCTTGACACACCACCTTTTGTCTAGCAGCAGGACTGCACAACTAAATGTACTGCTACCCACTTCCCTTTCCCACACCCCTGTCTTATACATAAATCTGGGAATTCCCTTCCCATTAGTCTTAGCTGCCCAAGGGTCCTTGTAAACCTCATCTGCCTTGAAGCTTAAGCTGTTATCTTGTGAAAATGCAGCAGAGAAAGGCTGCTGTTGGTGTAATGTAACTGGTTTTTCAAGACCTATGGGCTGGAAGAGTCATGCAAAAGAGTCATGCAAAAAAGCTGAAGTAAATGGTCCTCTATCCTCTGCCGTGCACTCCACATCATTTAACTGTCCTGGAAGGAAGAAAAAGGCAGATTAGAATATACAGGATTACATTATTAATCATTAATGTTTATTTACAATCATTTTAGCCAAAAACCCAGAAGGAGAGTGCAAAGTAAATTGAAAATACTGTAAAGCAGTAATCAGGATACAGCTTCATTGAAAGAATGTGGGACCATTTGAGACAGTCTAGAAGGAGCAGTCCTCATTCTTCCTTCTGAAATGTTCAGTTATCTAACTATCAATAAAACTAGATTTCAACACCATGACCTGCTTCTGTCTTGTGACAGGTAAGGCTGTAGAGCTGAACCAGTTCAACCAACTCTACCCCAGATCGAATGGAGAAACCAAAAACAGCTCTGGTTCCTTGCTTAACTGATACCAGAGTTCAGTAGTTTCAGTAGTAAATAAAAATTCCAGAACGGCTCCTATGGCACCCCCATGGCCTGCCCCTTGAACCACATCAGCTCCAACCTCACGCCCAACCCTCGTCAGCTGAGGGTAAGCTGACATGTCTCCCTCTCCTTTGGCACTTTTTTTCACTGCCAACTGCATGCTGCTAAGTTGAGCTTTACTTAGGGTGTTGGTGACCCTTTCCCGGAATAGGATAGTTCACTATTTCTTTCTGAGAGCATTTTGGCACTCTGTGGCTTGCCCAAAACGTAAGACAGGCTGGCTCTTCTCTCAGGAGGCACAGAGGGGACGAACCCCTGACCTCTGGCTTTGCAACCAGGTATCCAACTCACCTGAGTGATGTTCCGAGCTAAGCATTCTGTATCAGGTGGTTCAGGGAGATGATCTAACTGATTATCCTACACATAATTTGGTTACACTGCTTTTGGGCACATGAATTGTACTATTGTTATTGGAAGTGATGGAAACGAGAATAGCTTAGATGTAGCTCTAGTCCCTCTGTACCAAAATATTTTGATGGGCTGTTTAATGAAATGGTGAAGTAAAGGTGTGCGTAGGTACAAGACGTACAATGAAGAAACATACCCTTTAGTTTCTCAGGTACAGTAGTGTTGCCATGCCAATTCTGCAGAATGCTGACTGGAAAGCTATGTTTCAATTTCCAAACCCTTTATTTGAGTTAGGCAAGCTGAGGAAGAAAAGCTATATTGGACCGGAAGCTCTACAGACATGTTGTGTGCATGTTTTCTAAAAGATGTTCCTTTGGCTTTTGAGATTTTTTAAAAAAAGAGGGGGAGAGATTGGAGTTAGCAAAGAATGTAACTGGAAACTCAGTTTACCAACCTCCAAAGGATGGAAGGTTGAATTAATTTTTAGCTGGCTACCTAAATCCAGACTCAAACTCAGGTTATGAACAGAGTCTTCACTGCAATATTGTAATTTAGGTACTGCACCATGAATTAGAAAAGTGGGTGCTTAATCAAGTCAACTCTCACTTCAGCAAAAATGATTAAACTGAGCCTATCCTACCATGCACATATAATGGAAATACAGAAGTTACCAGAATGAACTATATTGCTGGGAAAAGTGAGGTGCAGTAATAGAAAAGGAGGAAGGAGGACCTAAAGGAAGATCTAACATGAGATGTGTTGACTCAATAAAGGAAGCCACAGCTGTCAGTTTTCAAGATTAGAAGAGAACTTAATCGAAAATACAGTACAATACTGTTAGGAACAACCTAACATGAGATGTTGGTGGTTTGCAAGATCTGAGCAAAACTGACACTTCTGGAAATCAGTAACTCATAGTCACCATATATATTAGAAGTGACCTGATGGCACATAGGGTCTTTGGAGGGTGTTTTTTTTCTTAGTTAACAAACAATGTTATAGTGATGGTTAGAATAGGCACTGAAGCTCTGCTAACATTAAGGCAGATCAACCCCAGCAACAAAGCAAAAACAGTAATTTCATGGCTTAAATGAGTGAACTTCTGAATATGTAGAGTGTATTGAACTGTGCTGTCATGCAATATTGTGCAGCAATACTACTGCTTCCTGGTTTTTCACCATATCTGCTTGACCATAATCCTGAAAGCTGGGCCATCCAAATTTTTTAAGTACAAAACTGCAATTGAATGAGCATCAATCGAGGTAGAATAGTTTTCTGTCAGGACAATGTTTTAAATTGTATCTATTATTACTTACTCTTTTAACTGCTGGGAGGTTGTAACAGCAATATTAAAAAATTTTGTAAGTTTTATAGCTATGGAATATTGAGAAACACTTCTATGCAACCCTCATTTCGCAAGTAACTGCGTGTAGGACTGCACTCTTTGCAAGCATTTGTCAAGTAACTGGAGATTAATAAACTGATCTGCTGAAAGTTACCCAGAGCTTAATGGGAAATCTAATCTGTGCAAACATGTTTTTGTTGTTATTTATATTTCTATCCCACCTTAAGCCCAGTGATCTTAAGGTGATGTACTGATTATTCTGTTAATTACATTTACAACACAGGTTTTGCATATCTGCCTTTTTTGACCAGGTAACAGATCTTACTGGATACAGAGTGCGATGTAGTGGATAACGTGGACGGAGCAGACACAGGGGACCTGGGTTTGAACTCTGACTCTGCCATGGAAACTCACTGGGGAGGTGGAACTAGTAAAACTACTCCGTAATTATCTCACATATCTTGAAAGGGACTCTATAATAGTCAGTTCTGAATTGAGGCCACATAACAACAGATATTTTGTTTATGCCAATGGAGTTTTCTTGGTAGAGATACTGGAGCGGCTTGCCAGTTCCTGCTCCAGGTAGATCACGTTTAGTCAGAACTCTCCACTATGACCTGTCCGTCTTGGGTGTCCCTGCATAGCACAGCCTATAGCTTCTCTGAGTTACTCAAGCCCCTTCGCCACGACAAGGCAGCAATCCATGAAGGGGCCAAAGAATCCCAAAGTAGGGCAGTGCCAAACAATGCTCCAAGTACCATACAATTGCACTCATTTCACACACTAGGAAGGTTATGCTCAAAATCCTCCAAGGCAGGCTTCAGCAGTATGTGGACCGAGAACTCCCAGAAGTACAAGCTGGATTTCGAAGGGACAGAGGAACTAGAGGCCAAATTGCTAACATGCGCTGGGTTATGGAGAAAGCCAGAGAGTTCCAGAAAAACATCTACTTCTGCTTCATTGACTACGCAAAAGCCTTTGACTGTGTGACTCCAGCAAACTATGGCAAGTTCTTAAAGAACTGGGAGTGCCTGATTACCTTATCTATCTCCTGAGAAATTGTAGTGATCACGAAATAAAAGGCTAATGGTGTAGGTCAGTGCTTCTTAACCTTTGTTACTCAGGTGTTTTTGAACTGCAACTCCCAGAAACCCCAGCCAGCAGAGCTGATGGTGAAGGCTTCTGGGAGTTGCAGTCCAAAAACATCTGAGTAACAAAGGTTAAGAACCAGTTGTGTAGGTGATCACAGAACAAAGCAATTAGCTTTAGAGAGAGAAGTTAATGAGGAGTCCACATGTAGATGTCTGCCAGCAGAGCCCCAAGGAGAAGCCCTGAGAACTCCCTTTATTAACCTTACAGAGATTGTTGAAAGAATTCAGATAGGACACTAGTTACCATATTTTTCCATGTATAAGACTATACTTTTGTCTAAAATCTTTAGACTAAAAATTGAGGGTTGTCTTATACATGGAAGTAAGCTGAGAAGAGAGAGAAAAATAAGTGGAGGGGAAAGCAGGGATCAAAGTGATCCTGCAGGGCTTTGATCCCTGCTTTCCCCTCTACTTGCAAAACCTTAGCAAAAGGAAAGCAGGGATCAAAGTGCTGCAACATGGCTTTGATCCTTGCTTTCCCCTCTGTTTACTAAGTCCCATGGGGCTTAGCAAGTGTAGGGGGAAAGCATCAAAGCAGTCCCATGGCTGTATAAGGGGGAAAGAGATCAAAACGATCATCCAGTCGCATGATTGCTTTGATCCTACAGTGTTTTGATCCCTTTCCCCCTACACTTGCTAAGCCCCACTTAGATTTCTTAATTTTGGGTTAGACATGGGGCATCTTATACATAGAAAAATACGGTACCTAATCACTACTAAGATTGGCCGGAGAGAGCCTTTGAACATTTGATCTAACTCTAAGGGAAAAAGGCAGAATGAGTAGTTGCCACTCCCATCAGGAGCCCGTCACTGTGCCAGGAGAGTGTGCTCAACAACTTAAGGAGAGCGCCCCCACAAGAAATCTATACGTGGGACAGGAAGCAACAGTTAGAACTGGATATGGAACAACTGATTGGTTCAAAATAAGGAAAGGAATACGACAAGGCTGTATATTATCCCCCGGCTTATTTAACTTATATGCAGAATACATCATACAAAAGGCTGGACTGGAGGAATCCCAAACCGGAATTAAGATTGCCGGAAGAAATATCAACAACCTCCAATATGCAGATGATACCAATCTGATAGCAGAAAATGAGGAGGAATTAAAGAACATTGTAATGAGGGTGAAAGAGGAGAGTGCAAAAAACGGTCTGAAGCTCAACATCAAAAAAAAAAAAAAAAACAAAAAAACTAAGATCATGGCCACTGGTCCCATCACCTTCTGGGAAATAGAAGGGGAAGATATGAAGGTAGTGACAGATTTTACTTTCCTGGGTTCCATGATCATTGCAGATGGTGACAGCAGCCACAAAATTAAAAAGCGCTTGCTTCTTGGGAGGAAAGTGACAAGAAACCTCGACAACAACTTAAAAATCAGAGACATCACCTTGCTAATAAAGGTCCGCATAGTCAAAGCTCTGGTTTTTCCAGCAGCGATGTATGGAACTGAGAGCTGGACCATGAAGAAAGCTCACCGCCAAAGAATTGATGCTTTTGAATTGCGGTGCTGGAGGAGACTCTTGAGAGTCCCCTGGACTTGCAAGGAGATCAAACCTATCAATTCTGAAGGAATGCAACCCTGAATGCTCACTGGAAGGACAGATCTTGAAGCTGAGGCTCCAATACTTTGGCCATCTCATGAGAAGAGAAGACTCCCTGGAAAAGACCCTAATGTTGGGAAAGTGTGAGGGCAAGAGGAGAGGGGGACGACAGAGGACGAGATGGTTGGACAGTGTCATCCAAGCAACCATCATGACTTCGACCCAACTCCGGGAGGCAGTGGAAGACAGGAGGGCCTGGCGTGCTCTGGTCCATGGGGTCACAAAGAGTTGGACACGAGTTAATGACTAAACAACAACAACAGATCTTACGAGCATTTCTGCCCACATTACCCCATGTTGCATTTCTTAAGAAATTAACCTCTCTTTTAGGAAATGAAACAAAAAGCTTGAAGAAACTGCTGAAGAAATCTGTAACTCTTTAAAACTTTATTGTGTACTAGATTTTCTTTTTCCCTTTGCTTTAGTGGAGTATCACTAAACTGAAAAGCTCCAAGGCAACAGTCCTCTGCTGCTATTCTAATTGCCTTCAAGCACTTTTGTTGTTGCTTAGTCGTTAAGTCACCTCCGACTCTTCGTGACCCCCATGGACCATAGTGTGCCAGGCCCTCCTGTCTTCCACTGCCTCCAGGAGTTTGGTCAATGTTGAATCCCTGTTTTTCTTTAAGTAGATTAGAGCTACACTGACAGGAAAGGCTTTTGATGCCTGAACCTTGCCACCAGTACTACCTCCTGGAGGTGATTTTAGAAAGCCTGAAAAGCAGGTTGTTGTTGCTCTTTGTAACAGTTGGCACTGGTCCAAGCCTTCCTTTCGCTGGACACCAGGAAAAATACTACAGTGCCTAACAGTGTGCGCAACTGTGCAACAAATGTTCCCTCTGGATGGGCCTTACGGTCCTTCGTTCTTCTGCTGCCCCCCCCCAAGTAGTACCGCCTCGCTCCTTCTTAGCTAACTCCCAGGGCATAGGCGGGAGGATGGCTGTGTCGATGCCCTGGTTGCTCTGAGGGCTTTCCCTCTGAAGCCCTAGAAGGACGGGAAAGCTGAGCTGCAGGCGGAGATGGGTGAACTCCGCGGGAAGAGGGGTCACGGTTGTCTAAAGGGGCCGAGGCGGGCTGGGATGTCCTCTGGCCCTCCTCCTGGAACGGCTGTGGGAGGGGAAGAGGGAGCAGCGAGGCCTCCCGGGGCGGGAGGAGAAGGCGCGGAGAAGGGCTCCGAGGGGACACCAAAGCCCAGCCGTCAGGGCGTCGAGCTGCGAGGGAGGAGGAGGAGGAGACTCGCACACCCGGAGCCTGCTCGGAAAAGGGCCCTCGCCGCTCCCCCCTGCCCCGGTAGAGGCGGTAATTCCGCGACCCGCGTTACGGTTGCGTTGGCGCCGAAGCCAGAGTCGGGGCCTTTTGTTGTTCTGTTAAAACAAAGGCGAGGGCTAATGGAGTAGAGGAGCCTCTGCCTTGTGACCAGAATACCCGATGTAGAAAAAGAGAGAGAGACTCTTGGAGCCAATGAACATTTAGAGTGTTTTACTTGTGAATTTGGTCTTTCGTCCCGCACTTAACTTTTGTTTAACATCTCTGACGAAGCGCTCACGGAAACTAATATTAAAATAGAATAGTTTTTAAAGGTGCGACGTGTTTTTGTCTCTCTTTTTTTGGCTGTTTCTTTTGATTCTGCTCGCTAGGGGTAGGGAAGGCGCACACCCTGCCTGCTCCGCGCGCTGTTGCTGAAGAGGAAGGGGCGGCTGCTCGCGGGTCGGCTCCGCTCCGACGCCCCAAAGTTTCTGCTGGAGGGGGGAGGGAAACAGCCCACGCGTGCTGAGTGGATGTTCCAGGAAAATACAGTGGCTTTGCAGTACACAAAAATGTTTCTCAACATTTTTTTTTTAAAAAAATGCAACATAAAGCGCTCAGAGGCGCAGGAACGAATTACAGCCTAAAAATTAGACAGTTTTTTTGGGGGTCATATGCCACCTATAAAACATCTTATATATATTCTCTTTAAAATTAACCGATCTTGTAAGCTTTATGTTATTTTGCCATATTTTCAGCCATTGATCAATATCAATGTTGTGCCATTTGTTTTGTGCCCACTTAATCATAGATTCTTTAACCATTTCATCTTGCATTTTAATTTCCAACATATAATTATCCATTTTCTTGACAATTTGTTCTTTTGAACCCAATAAAAGTTTATCAAAAATCTTTTGCTCTTAGGGGAAACCCTCTATTTTATCTTTTGTATATCTAGATTCTAGCTGTATTCTAGGCCACCAGTCTAAATATACATTCTGCGACTCTAGTTCCTCTTTAGACCTTAATTCACCATCCTTTTTTAATAGATCTTGATATCTTAAAAGATTTGCTTTTGTCATAAGATTGGGTTGTGTAAAGGCCTCTATTGGTGACACCCATACAGGGATTTTGTAATAAAGTTGTTGTATAATCTTTCTCCACATTCCCAGTAAAGCTTTTCTTATCATATGTGAGTTAAAATTCTTTTGTCCTTTGTCCTTTTAATACCATAAATAAGCATGCCAACCTAATTGCAAATCGTGTCCTTCCAAGATAAGTAATCTATCATTTTCTAGAGTTATCCATTCCTTTATTCAATCTAGAATACAAGCTCTATAATACAGAACCCAGTCAGGAAGACCAAAGCCATGGAGGATTTCCATTTTGATAGTTGAACTGCTTAGCTTATCAACGTTTTTCCATGCAGTCTCAATTGTGCACATTTTTTGTGTATGGTATCCATGTTTCTATGAACTTCATTGGGAACCAGAGAAAAGTACAAATTTTAGTGTCTTATTGATACATTATTTTATGTTCAGATTTGAGCAACTGAAAGTTTGGTAAGATGACAATGAAATGTAAACCAAACAGATTTCTGTCCCATCAACAGTTTTGCTTGAGCATGGGATGAACGTGCAATGGGAACTAGTTGAAAAGTAATAATCTTTTAATCCACCAATGTCTATTCTAACATGTTTCATATCTGACTGCAGACCATGGCAAAGAGAGTAGCAATCGTAGGAGGTGGCTCCAGTGGACTTTGCAACATCAAATGCTGTTTGGATGAAGGTCTGGAGCCTGTGTGCTTTGAAAGCAGTGATGATATAGGGGGGCTCTGGAGGTTCAAGGTAAGCTTCATTGCTCCAGAATACTGTACTGATGCTTCCTTTGTGGTGGATGGTTGTTGGTGCAAATTTGCAACAATTCCCATAGTTCATCTTAAGAGCTGTAAGAACAGGAAAGGAAGGGAAAGGGACAAAGGGTTTCACTTATGCAAAGAACAGTTTAAAGTCACAGAGTAGGAACACAGGCAGCCCAAGAGCTAGCTCATATTTGGTTCCTTAAAAGTGAGTTCTTTTCAGTGCTGTCAAGTATTCCTCAAGAGTAGATCCAGCATTTCAATTCCTCTTCACAGGCTGTGATTCTCCTCTTTTTTCCCTTCTGTCTGGGAAAGGGGAGCTTTTTTTAAGCCATAGCAATGTTTTAGGAGGCTCACTAATGCAAAGACCTCTTTACTGACTTGCCTGTGGCTCAGATCAGCACACTCTGTTCCGCTTTGGTCACTCCTCATCTGCAAGTCTGCATAGAAGTTTGGCCAGTGCTGGGCATCACCATTTGACAATGATTTCAGGAAGCTCGGAAATGGCCAGAGGAGGGGAGCCGAGTGGCTGCTCTGAAAAAGGGGCAGAACCAGGGTGGCTTCCATCAAGTACATACTATAATGAGTTAAGCAATGAATTCTTTTCCAAGTATAACATGCCAAGCTCCGTTTTCATTTATAATTTTTATCTCAGAATGCCTGTGTGTAAATAGGCGAGTCACATTCCTTTTCCCTCAGGGAGACATGCAGACTTTGAAATGGCCTAATCTTATTATAGGCTCACCCACTTTTATTGTCTTTAACTTTTATCCTGTTAGGATTTATGCTAAGCTGGGATATTAAAAGTGTGTGATACCCACTGGTATTGTAAAAGTACTGGAATGCATAATGTTTTGATTATGAGAATCGTTTTATTTGAGTTGAACATTCTAAATTGTCATTTTAATTTCTATTTTCCTGTCATCCCTTTCTCTCTTCCTGGGTCCATTTGTGTATGTTATTTCTTTGTTGTGAGTTCTTTAAGGAATGCAGAGAGTTGCTGTTGTATATGAGCTAAAATAGTATATTCAGAATATACACTTCTCTCTAATATCAGTTCATTAGATTTCCACTACAAGAATGGAATGGGTTGTGCCTTTTGGTGGTATGCCGTGGTTTGAATGTGGGCTGAGCTGCTGTGGCCCCCTCCTCAGAAGGGGGTATCGGACCTGTTGGTCCCTGTTTTTGACTGGGGGGGGAGGTTGGTCCTCTCCTGCCTGTATACCAGCCACATTGAAACTCTGTAGCACAGATGCCTTGTAAGCAGAATGAGGGGTTCCTCGCTTTGCAAAAATGCAGTAAATGTGCCTTTTAATTTTGATTAATAAACACAATTGTAAAAGTGGTGAATATTTCTTGTCACACATTTTAAATAAGGCGTATGTTCTATTGGCCGTACAAAAATTTGTTAATACAAAAAAAAAACACATAACAGTAGAGTGGATTTGAATTAAATTATTTGATTGAAATCACAAATTATATTTAAAAATCAGATTTTTTGATGATTTAAATAAATCATAAGTAAAGAAGAGGAGGAGGAATACATTGGCTGGGGAAAGGGGTAATATGTAATTTATAGCCAGAGTAACTATGGGAAAGCCTTTCTGTCGTAAGGCAGAAACTCATCTGGTCAAGTGAAGCATTAAATACTAGCAGGTCATGATGTGTGATATAGTCAGAACTGTCACCTTTCTGGATACTGTCCAGTAACAATAGCTAGCCTGTGCTATTCTGCTGTTTTGCTTACACAATAGGCAGAAGAAAATTAAAGGATAATCTAGCTTGTGGGGTTCCAGAAAGTATCTTGTGAATACAGATCTGTATATTTTCCTGCTTCTGTGCCCCATTGTGCTTTTTCAGCATGTAGATTTGTGTATTTCAAGTTTCCATTGTTTTCCCCATAAAGCAAGGACTGGGAAAGAAGGCATGCAAAATGGCCTACGGAAGTGTATAAAACCTTACATTGTATTTTCTGCAGGAGGATCCTGAGAAAGATCGGGCTAGCATTTACAGATCTGTGATCATCAACACCTCTAAGGAGATGATGTGCTTCAGTGATTTTCCCATACCAGCTGACTTTCCCAACTACATGCATAATAGCAAGATCATGGACTATTTTCGGATGTATGCCAAGCACTTTGATCTTCTGAAGTACATCCGCTTCAGGGTAAGAAGAGTAGTGTTGGCACTGGGAGTAGAACCCTAGGCCCAAATCCTATTACATTCTATGCTGGGCTAAAGCAACTGGTGTGAATCTGGGTTGCAGTCTGCCACAAGTTGGGATGTCAACATAAGCAATTCCTGTTAACTTAGTGTGACTCGCTGCATAATGAGGAATGCCTCCCCTGACTTTACTGCTGAAATTTACAACAATTGTATTATATTGGTGGGCATAACTAATAGGATTTTGGCATTGTGTACATGTGCACATGCACTTCCATACATGTAGGTATGTTTCTGGCATTATTAAAAAAAAATAAGGATGCTGGGCAAAAGGATTCCTGACAACATAAGCATCAAATCAGTGGTCAGGCTGGTTCTGGAAGCTGTAGTCTAAAAAAGTAAGCTCTGTCCATCATGTCAGTGAAGCCATACCTACTCCTCTGTGGTCTCTTGTGCAGCTTTCAAAGGCACAGAAGCCCTGCTAGGTTGAAAGTGTTAGCAAATATTTTGACCTGCTTTGTGTACTGTAGGTAAGAGCTGTATGGCTGTTGTGTAAAACATTCCATTATGTAACCGTTGCTTTTATCCCCTGTTTGTCAAGGTCAGCTTCACTGTTCTGTGAGTAGTACTCAATCTCTCATCTCAGAATCCTAGAACCTGAGGTCATCGGTAGAAGGGTGGAAGATTCAGGACAGATAAAAAGAGGCACTATACAATAGGCACTATACACTATACAATATCCACAGTCTTAAAATATTAAAAGAAAAAAACAACAACACCCAATTTATTTTCAAATGTACTACCAGTACTAGAGGGAGCCGGAGACTGTTCTTTTAATACTTGTTAACGACGAATACATAGCATGGTCCCTGGCGCCCTTTAGAGGCCAGATCTGGTAATATATATGAAAATATGTTTTTCTGATGTTTTTCCTTTTACCATGCTCTCTCCCTCTCTCCATATCGATGTGTCCACTATTATCTAAAGTTTTCAGTATCCATGGGGGTTTGGAACCAATCCCTAGCGGATATGGGGGTCCTACTGTATATGTTAAACTGGAATTCACTTGACAGAAGAAGACTGCCGGCATGGACACATTTTAAAAAGGATTAGCGGTATTTACAGAGGTCGGGAGTAGTGGCTATTAGTCATAAAGGAAATGCTTCCCTTCATTGTACCAGAGGGCAATCTACCTGTGTGTATCAATTGCTGGGGGAGCATGAATGGGGGTGGGTGCTGCTGTGTTCATGCCCTCCTGGTGAGCTTCCCAGCGGCAACCAGTATGAACAGAATGCTATTCTAGATAGGCCTTTGGTCTGATACAGTGTGATGGTTATAAAATATAATAATAGGAAAAAGTAAAATGATCAGCTGTGGGAGTCACAGGGACTGAAGTACTGAATCTTCAACTTTAAAAAATGTAAATTTAATAAAAATTAAACACAAGGCAACAAAGACTTCTTAGCTTAGTTATAAACAAGATCACTATGTGGATATTAAGCTAATTTCACTTGGGCGGGAGGCACCACCAGAACAGTTCTCTCCTTTTCTACCACCCTCCAAGTCTCAGATTCAGAAGCGCTTAGAGCCTTTTGCGGAGTAGTGAAAAAGCAAACAGTGCATTAAATAACTAAATATATGTATTCTCGAAAGCTTTCACGGCCAGGATCTAATAGTTGTTGTGGCTTTTCCGGGCTATTTGGCTGTGTTCCTAAGGTTTTGCTTCCTAATGTTTTGCTGGTCTCTGTGGCCTGACTACAGTCCTCTGAAGATGCCGGCCACAGAGACTGGCAAAACGTTAGGAAGAAAAACCTTAAGAACACGGCCAAAGAGCCCAAAAAACCCACAACAACCATTAACTAAATATAATTGAAAGGCTTCTGTGGGTTGCCTTATGGTATGGATGTAAGGGAGACTGTGTTCTTCTAGCAAATGATGCTGAAGTGAATACATATCCATCTTTCATGTGTGTGTGTGTGTGTGTGTGCGCGTGTGTGTTTGACTGTCTGTCTGTCTGAATTCCACTCATATCCCGAGAGGGCCCCTGCCCCCTTTGGGACACAGCTGGCTGGAGAGCTAAGGCACCAGAGATGCTAGGAATCTCCTGGAGTGCAATTCTGAATACAGGGTCTGGCCTTCAGTGATGCAGGGAGAGGCGAAGAAGGGGTTTCTGCTGACTGGTGCTCACCCTGGAGACTCTTTTGTCTCACCCTTAGGCCCTGTGAGACCTCTGTAAGCATGCGGGGCACGCCTGCTCTGTATGCCCCCACCCTTGCACAGGGAGCAATCCAACAGGGCTCCTGTTCTCCCTGTTATGGCAGATGGAGGTATTTCCCTGGGCTCAGCTGTAGATTGCCTTGTGGGAGTCAGTGGCTCTGCTGAAGGCCCCGGGCTGTCCTCTTGATGCAACATATCCCCAAAAACATGAAAGAGGTTTGTCCCAGAGGTGGGAAGAAAGAGGACAGACAAGGAAGGAGAAAGCAGAAGGAGTAAAAAAGCATAGAGAGAAGCAAGCAAAGGAGACGAGGAAAAGAGATAAGAACTTAAGACTGAGTTCCTGGGTTGTCCTCACCCCTAGAGGGAACCAGGAGCTAAAAAATGATTTGCTGTAAGTGCCTAAACGACTAAACAACAAAAGTCCCTATTAAATTGAATGGGTCTGGACAACCCACTGTAAGCATGTCTTCCCACCACCACGGGAAAACCCTATCTTTATCCTGAAAACAAATTCGTCTGAGTTTATCCTTGGGTTCAAACAAAGTTGTTTCCAGAACAACTTACTGAAGAAAGACTACTGTAATCTGAGTCTAAGTCTAGCCAAGGTTAGTTAGTCAATTCCAACTTGCCTTCTAGAGAAGCAGGATTTTGGTTAAGAGTTCTTTCATGCCTAATATATTTGTACCATGTCCTAATGAAAACAATAAAATAGAACTTTGTCCTTGTGATAGTTGTTTCATTCACTTGCTGGTTTCTTGTTTCCAGACTAAAGTGTGCAGCATAACAAAACATGCCGACTACTCTCAAAATGGCCAGTGGGATGTTGTCACAGAGACTGATGGAAAACAAGACTCATCGGTCTTTGATGCGGTCCTGATTTGTACTGGGCACCACACCAATCCACAGCTGCCACTGGACTCCTTCCCAGGTAGGGACCCTTCTTGTCAAGGGGCATTCAACTCCTGTTCCCTCTCTGCAGAGTCATGTAGGATAGGATGACAGAGCCAAACCTGGTGCTCAGAACTGGCTTTGTAATTAGGCGGGGCTGAGGTGACCAGTTTAGGTCAGATTAGGGGTGTCAGGTAAGATAGCAAATGGTCAATTACCTAATTTCTTATTACATGTATTTCATCCTGACTACCAGGGATAAGGAGAAGTGTTTCTGGGATATTCCGCCTCAGATGCTAAAGTGAGTTAGATGACTTTAGGTATTATTTACCTTGACATGGAAATGGGCCTTGCCTCATGGAGCAAAATATCTTGTGCTGGCTGTACGGTATTGCATCAGGATGTTATTTGATCTAGAAAGGCCTGTCTAAATAACCAGGTTTTTAGTGGTTTTTTAAAAGTGCCTAGTGAGGGGGCCAGGTGAACTTTTGATGGGAGGGTATTCCACAGTTGCCGAGCTACCACCTAGAAGGCCCGATTTCTGGTGGTTGTTTCCCGGGCCTCTCTTGGCGTCAGAACTCTCGGCCGCCCCGCCTGTGATGATCTTATTGGATGGACAGACCTAACTGGAAGGAGGCGCTCGACTAGATATCGAGGTCCCACACTGTTTAGGGCCTTATAGGTTAATACCATCACCTTGAAGCTGGAACAGAAGTGAACAGGTAACCAGTGTGAGGCGGCCAAGATGGGGGAGATATGTTGGTATTTTCTAACTCCACTCAGTAGTTTGGCCCCTGCGTTCTGGGCCTGTTGCAGTCCCAAGGGCAGCCCCACGTAGAGGCATTGCAGTAGACTACCAATGCATGGACCAGCATGGTGAGGGACCCAGTGTTAAGGTAGGGACGCAGCTGGGCAATCTGCTTTAGGTGGAAGCAGGCAGATCAGACCACAGATGCTACCTGGGATTTCATCAATAGCGCTGGGTCCAAAGGTATGCCCAAGCTGCACACCTGATCCTTCATGGAAAGTGTGGCTCCCCCAAAGGAAAAGGAGGCACCCATAGCACAAACATTAGGATTTCCATCTTGTCCAGGTTCAGCCTCAGTCTGTTTTCCCTCATCCATCCCAGCACTCAGGCAGCTCAGACCACAGATGCTACCTGGGATTTCATCAATAGCGCTGGGTCCAAAGGTATGCCCAAGCTGCACACCTGATCCTTCATGGAAAGTGTGGCTCCCCCAAAGGAAAAGGAGGCACCCATAGCACAAACATTAGGATTTCCATCTTGTCCAGGTTCAGCCTCAGTCTGTTTTCCCTCATCCATCCCAGCACTGCATCCAGGCAGCGCTCAAGGGATGGGACAGCATCCACTGCAGAAGGGTGGAAGGAGAGATAGAACTGAGTGTCATCCACATATTGTTGGCACAAACTCTATTGTTGACACAAAGCTCCAAAACTCTTGATGTGTTGGCACAAACTCTGTTGTTGACACAAAGCTCCAAAACTCTTGATGACCTCCCCCAGCAGCCTCGTATAGATTTTAAATAGCATTGGGGAGATGATTGACCCCTGTGGGACTCCACAACTGAGAGCCCACAGAGCGGACAGTATCTCCCCAAGCTGTACTCTCTGAGGGCAGTGGATAGTATCTCCCCAGGCTGTACTCTCTGAGGGCAGTCCTCCAGGAAGGATCGGAGCCAGCCAAGGCCTGACCACTGTTCCCCAACCCTGCGAGCCTCCCCAGGAGGATACTGTGATCAACAGTATCAAAGGCCGCTGATAGGTCGAGGAGGACCAACAAGGATGTTTTGCTTTTGTGGGCCTCCCCCAAAAGGTTATCTGCAAGATAATGGGTGACCAGTGCTGTCTCCGTGCCATGATGGGATCTGAACCCAGACTGGAATGGATCAAGGGCAATCTCTGTGCCATGATGGGATCTGAACCCAGACTAGAATGGATCAAGGGCATCAGTTTCTTTCAGGAGCAAGAAAGGCCTGATGTTCAAGCTGGATTTCAAAAAGGAAGAGGCATTTGAGACCCCATTGCAAATATCCACTGACTACTGGAGTTCACCAAAGTTTCAGAAAAATATCAGTGTGTGCTTTATAGAAATATCAGTGTATGCTTTATAGCAAAGCCTTTGACTATGTAGATCATAAGAAACTATGGGTTGTTCCGGTTGGAAAATTAATAAAAAAAGTAAAAAAAAAAAAGAAGAAGAAGGTACAAGAAGGAAACCCAGGACTGCCAGAAAGTTATCCTACTGTCCACCTCTATTGTGAACAAGAAGTTACAAGAAGGAAACCCAGGACTGCCAGAAAGACAAACATGTGGGTCCTAGAGCAAATAACTTCTGAACTATCTCTGGAGGCGAAAATGTTGAAACTGAGGCTGTCCTATTTTGGGTATATCATGAAAAGTCTGGATTCTTTGGAAAAGACCACGATGCTGGGAAAAGGTGGAAGCCAGCAGGAAAAGGAGACAAAATATGAGATGGATTGACTCCCTAAAGGAACCAACAGTTGTGAGTTTGCAAGACCTGAGCAGTCTGTTGAGGAAAGGACATTTTGAAGATCTCTCATTCAGGGAGTAACCACGAGTTGGGGTGTCTTGATGGCACATAACAACAGGAGGGCTTGCCAGTGAGCAAAGCACTTCATGATAGGTAATCTCTCAGGTTATTTTCACCAGAACCCCACGCCGCAGGTTGTCCATTACACTGAGTCTCTTAGCAGAGGAAGTACAATGTGATCCACGATACCCCACTGCTTAGATAGGAGACGCACTTTTTTGTCAATTCCCATTTGTATTTTGAGTACCCCATCTCTGTCACTGGAACTCTGGTACTTTTAACTCTGTAGCTTGTCTGATGCTGAACAGAAGAAACGGAAAGACGGAAAGAAAGAAGACTTTAGTTAGCATGTTCAAGGTCATTTAAGTCCTTAAGGCCTAACAAGCTAATTTTTATTTATTTATTTTATTTATATCCCACCTATCTGGTCAATTACGACCACTTACCTATAATCAGAAGAGCTAACGAATGCTGTCTGCACTCTGCCCTTTTTTCCTGCATGCCTAAGGAAGAGTGGGATTTATTATATTGTAGTACTTGTGAAGTGCTTGGAATCAGGGTTGCTTTCTTTCATGCTAATAAAAGCAAAGGCATGAATTTATGTGGTGGTAATGGGTTACTTGTAGAGACAGTCAGCAGGACTGACATATTTAACATTTCAGAAAAGCCTAAAAATAAATTTACTTCCAATATGTGGATGACACCTTTGCAATTTGGAGTCATGGTGAAGAAAATTGGAAGAATTTTTCAACCATCTCAACGGCATTCACCCAAATATACAATTCACCATGGAAAAAGAAATAGAGGGCCAACTACGCAAAACTGACCTCCGACTGGGACACAAGGTCTACAGAGAACCCACCCACACAGACAGGTACCTACACAAAAACTCCAACCACCACCCACAGCAAAAAAGAGGCACAATTAAAACACTGGTAGACCGTGCAAATCGGAACTGTGAAGCTCATTTCCTCAGCACTGAACTCAACCATCTGAATTGGCCCCTACAGGCAAATGGCTACTCCAAAAATGAAATCACAAGAGCCATCAAACCAAGGAAACAACACCAAACTGAAGAAGAAAAACAGCCACCCACAAATAAAGTATTTCTGCCATACATCAAAGGGGTCATGGACCCCATGGGGAAACTTTTGAAAAACAACAACCTACAAACAGTATTCAAGCCCACCACAAAAATACAACAAATGTTACGGTCAGCAAAGGACAGAAGGGACCCCCTCGCCATTGCAGGAGTATACAGGACACCTTGCAGTTGTGGCAGGTATATATTGGAACCACATTCACACCAGAATCAAAGAACATGAGAGACACTGCAGACTAAAACAACCAGAAAAATCTGCAGTAGCTGAACATGCCCTAAAAGAAACCGGACATGAAATTCTGTTTCAAAATACTGAAATACTGACAACACCAGCAATCATTACATCAGAATGCACAGGGAAGCCATTGAAATAAACAAGCACCAGCAAAACTTCAACAAAAAAGAGGAAAGTGTGAAGCTCAAGAAAACTTGGCTCCCAGCTCTCAAAAATACAGCATGCAAAAGGTCAACAAACTCCACCCAGCCACAAGGACAGGGGATCACTACACACGAAAGACCAGCTAATGACACCCATCAACTACAGCGACAGATCATCTTTTCTTCTTAGCACAGCAATACACCCACAACAAGACACATCACCCATCTACAGAAAAAGACACACAGCCATAAATACTGCACTCCCAAGACAAACTACACCAGAGCACAGAGTGCTGTCCTCTGAAGATGCCAGCTGCAGAGACTGGTGAAACGTTAAGAAGAACAACCTACAGAACACGGCCAAAGAGCCTGAAAAACCCACAGCAACCAAACTTACTTCTCCAACTTTTTGTGTTCACCAAAGGAAGGTAACCATACAGATTTCAGCTGCCTGATTCCTGAATTTCTAGTGTCATGCAAATACTCCCCAGTGACTCAACCCTCTAAATGTGCTTTAGAAGCTTGTTGGCTCTCATGCATTAGGAGGGGCCATTTTAGTCCCCCCAGATAGTAATATTGTGTTGCAAAATACAAAGAGGACTAGTGCTACAAAGAGGGCATTTTGCAGTTGTAAAGACCTTCACCCAATTTCAGACTGTTGCTATATAATATTTTTCTGAAGAAAAACAAAAGCTAAGCCAATAAATGCCCCAAGAAATCTGTTGAATTTTGCCATTGTGATACTTTTATGTCCCAGGCAATACAATGTCATGGGCAGAACACTTTTCTGTGCTGTTTTTTGTTGAACTGTGATGCATGGAAGCAGCAGTGGCATGCTGTGCTTGTCACTAGGTTGGAACTAGAGATGGGCACAAACCCATGGGTTCAGAGGTTTGTGCCAGTTCATAGGTGCAGCACCACAGGTGCTACTCATTCTCTTCCCCTGCCTCCCCGGCCAATGACCCACTCACCAGTTGGAGTGCACTCCTTTCCTCCTCCCTCGGGAGCATGAGGTTGCCTGTCTTGCCTCTTTGTCTGAGAGGGCCATCAGCCAAGGAGGCGGGGCAGGGAATACCGAGCTCCTGCCAGAGACTGGTCGAACAGCTGGAATACCGAGCTCCTGCCACAGACTGGTCGAACAGCTGAAGAGGAAGAGGAGAGAAGTGCGCACTGGCTGGTGAGTGGGGGATCCAGCCAGGGAGTCAGAGGAAGGTTTGTGCCCATCTCTAGTTGGAACCATATAGGGGAATAGGAACTTACTCTGTTGGGGGTGACATTGTAGTGATAGGAAATGTCTCACGCTCCAAGTAGTATAACAAATGTTCCTAGCCCTAAACCCTTAATCCTAACTTTATTTGCATTAGAAAACACCTCGCAACATTCAACACAGACCTTTATTTTAGGTCATGGGGATTAATGTATTACAGATAGTGTGTGTTTGTTGGGAAGTGTCTAAGTCGCACTGGCCATGTGACCACGGGAGATCATCTTAGGACAAAACGCTGGCTCTATGGCTTGGAAACGGGGATGAGCACCACCCCCTAGAGTCGAACACGACTGGACAAAAATTGTCAAGGGGAACCTTTACCTTTACCTTTATATCAGAAGGGAAGACATCAATAACACAAAGAGCAATAAGTGGAAGGGGCAGGAGAAAAGGAGCTTTTTCCTGACTGGTTGTGTAACTCTACAGATATCTAGGTAGAAAGCTACAATACTGGGTCTGGTTGGTGCACATTGACATAAGCTCAAACAGTTTCAATGTTTATTTACAGGGATTACAAAATTCAAAGGTCGCTACTTGCACAGTCGTGATTACAAGAGTCCTGATGAATTTACGGACAAAAGAGTCATCGTGATTGGGATTGGGAACTCAGGTGGCGACCTTGCAGTGGAGATAAGCCGCAAAGCAAAACAGGTTTGGCTCAGTATTGCGAACACATTGCTTGGTTTGACAGATGCAGGATCTGCTTTGATCGAATATACATTTCCTAAACAAATTGCAAAGGGAGGAATCAACTCAGTGACTGCCCTTAAATACCAGTTGGCATTTTTATTTTGTAGATTACACTGTGCCCTTTTTGGGCTAAGGACATCTGAAACAGACTGAAAAACTCCAGGAAGCTTTTGCTGATATGGGGAGATACTGGGGAAGTGCATTGATCCCAAGATCAGACTTTGGTCGTCATTAGGAAATGGCCCTTGGCTACTTGGACCAGTTTAGTTTAGTCTTCCTGGATTCTTAAAACCAAATTAAAAGTTAGAAAGACTTGTGCTACTCATTGACAAGAGCTGCCAGTTAAAAAATGGCTATGACTTTTGTTTTGCTGGATAACTTTTGCAAATGTAGCAATCCTTTCAGAGTGGATAATTCTTTCCAAGTTGAAGACAAATAGATGCCGTGGTTTTGTGAATCATTACCTTTGTTTCAAAAAGGAAAAGGAATGAACTGTTTCTTGACAGAATTGGAAGATGTGTAAATTAAAACATGAATATAAGCTGATATTTAGAGGATAATCAGTGTGTGTGTGTCTGTCTGTCTGTCTGTCTGTCTGTCTGTCTATCTATCTATCTATCNGTATATATAACATATATACAGTATATATAACATATATATATACAATATATATACGTTGTTTTTTTTGCATTGAAAAATGAATAGATTAGATGCATGTACAGTGGTGCCCCGCATAGCGACGATAATCCGTGCGGAAAAAATCATCGCTATCCGGATTCGTCGCTATGCAGGGAAAAAAAAACCCATAGGAACACATTAAAACACGTTTAATGCGTTCCTGTGGGGGAAAAACTCACCGCTATGCGGAAATCCTCCATCCAGCCACCATTTTTGCTGCCTGGTAAGCGAGGACAGGGCGCGAAAATTCTGCGGGCAGCCATTTTTTCTTCCAGCGGCCATTTTGGAACCGCCGATCAGCTGTTTTAAAAACATCGCAATGCGAAGATCAGTAAGCGAAACGCTTACCAATCATTGCAATGCAATGTTTTCCCTATCTAAAACATCGCAATGCGATCGCAAAAGCGATCGCAAAAAACATGTCGCTATGCGGATTCATCGTTAAACGGTGCGCTCGTTAAGTGAGGCATCACTGTATACCTAATATGAATAGATTGGATGATTGTATACTTGTGTTCTCCTATCCTTAAAACCCTTTCCCCATCCCTTACACTTCCTTTTACCTTTTGTATTCCTTACCCTATTCCTAGTAGTTTAAAAATAAAATATTTAAATAGAAAAATAAGAGAGAATATGTCTCTTAAAATATTAAAGTTATTAAAAATAAGAATATGTAAAGTGAAAAGTATTATAACTTTAAATAAACTTTAGCCTTACTTAAAAAGCATGAAAAAAACATCAAAGGTTTAAAAAGTATAAATATATTAAAGAAACTGACTTTCTTAGTCTCTAAGCATATTAATAACACACAAAAATAATACATATTTCTAAATGTCCACTCACCTATTTGTTTGTTAAAATACTGGAGGAAAACTCATGATGTTTATTGTACTACTACATGATTGTTGTTGATATCTGATGTGTGTAGTAGCACAGAGCTATCTTGTTATGATAAGTTCGATGCCTTGTGTACATATACCTTATCTCCCCATATATCTATTTCATTTGTTTTTATTTCCTCCTTGTCTGTAAGCAAATCTTATCTGAAAGTACCTGGAGATCCAGGAGTCTGAAACTCCAGGAACATATTTTCAATGGAAAATTGTACTGTTTTTACACATATTGTGACTCTAAGGATGTGTAACTTAATTTCTGCCATTATTTATATTTAAGTCATTGTTTTCACTCTCAATTATTGCAAAACATGGGATAATAAGACTCTATAGGAACAACCCTGTTTAGCACCAGAATGTTATAACATCAAGTTACGAAGACACCAGGAGTATTGTAGAATTGAACTATTATGATCATTGCTAGATTGTGCTATACCTACAAATTGACAGGGTGCTTCATACCTGCAAATGGCATTTCCATATACTGTAATCATATTAAGAACATTAAGAATTCTATTGATTATGCTCTTTTTTCATTTCAGCCCATGTTAAACTGGCAGGTGTGAATGAAATTCTTCAAAGCATATCATGACCTTGTTCCAAAGCTTGCTGGAAAGCTGGCAATTGTTTTAAAAACATTGCAACTAAAGTAAATTGTTTCCCAAGCCATACATGCTTTCATTTTCAGGGCTTTTCTGTACTTCCCCCTTAATCAAGTTTTTAAAAAAACACCTTATAGATACAAAATTTCAAATCTTGACATCCTCTTGCCATCTCTCTGGGCTTTTTTTGGGGGGGGGCAGTTTCTGTAAAAATGTCCCATATTGTAGCAGCGATCCAGGAAAGAAGCTTGTGAATCTTCAGTAGATAGATGCAGTTCTAGAGAGTTTAACTGGAAAAGCAGTTTAAGCATTTAAAAAATATTGGTTGAGTGAACTGTGGTCAGATCTCACTGGCCTGTTCTAGCCGTCTCATCTACTGTAGCCTGCAATGCCAGTCTTGTAAAGAGAGAATTTAACAAGGTTCATCTTGGGTGGGTGGTTGAGTGGGAGTTCAGATGCAGGAGCCACGAGTATAATATACTTGGAAGGTTCATATAAGACCGAGTCTGTGTACTACAGATAATGACATTTCATTATAGGACAACAAGGAAGAATCCTGGAATTGCAAGAAAGCACAGCAGTGAGACAAGAAGCACAAACATGTTTGACATTTCGGAGGGACATGTCAGAGGATTTTTGAAAAAAACAGTATACATTTTTAAGCTGGATGGGAAAGGGTTATAAGATAGTTTTGTATTTATGTGCCATCAAAGTGTTCGGTGGCCTTATGAATGAATGACCTCCAAAGATGCAAGCGTGCTTGGGTCTTGAAAAACCTCAAGATCTTGGATTCCTTTATTGAGGCAGTCTTTCTTACATTCAATTTTTTTTCTTTGCCTGCTACCTTCCACTACTTTCCACCTTTACTTTCTTTCTGCAGTGACTCTTGTCTTCTCACAATAGGTCCGAAGTATGATAGCCGTAGATTAGTCATTCTAGTACCTAGTGAGAATTCAGCCATGATTTGATCTGAAATCCACTTATTTTTCTCTCTGGCCATTCATGGGTATCTATTAAGCTTTCCTCCAACACCATGTTATTTTAATACATTTTTCTCTGTTTTGCCCAGGTCTTCCTCAGCACCCGCCGAGGAGCATGGATTATCAATCGTGTTGGTGACAAAGGCTACCCAGCAGATGTGGTGCTTACCACCCGATTTAATGTGTTCCTGAAGGAGTTGGTCACCACATCTATGTTAAATGGTTGGATAGAGAACAGACTGGATTCTAGATTTAGTCATTCTCATTATGGGTTGAAACCTAAACACAGGTATTATTTATTTATTTAATATCTGAGTGCTGTAGTTTATATCCTGCTCTGCCTCATAGGAGTCTAAGGTGACCATCCATATGCTACCTTGCTTGTCTTGCTTGTCTTGCTTGTCTTGCTTGTCTTTCTTTCTTTCTTTCTTTCTTTCTTTCTTTCTTTCTTTCTTTCTTTCAAAAGCAGAAAGAGGAGAAAACAGCAGCTGTTAGATAGTAATACATGTTGACAGCTGCTGCAAGCAGTTTACTGATATCTCTTATTAAAATATATAATGCTTATTGTAAGTACTTCACATCTTTGAAGTACTTACAATAAGCAGCACAAAAGAAACAAAGTAAGGGCTCAATCACACATACCAAAACAATCCTAGTTATACCAATTCTTTTTTCCCCTTTGAATCAATACATATTTACATGTGATCATGAGGCTGTCAGTTCAGTCAGTACATTTCTTGCTATATGTACTAATTCTGTAGGCTACACATGCTACACACCACGTCAGGAGGAGAAAACGGGGTTTAAAAGACTTGCAAAATATTGTGAAGAGCAGGGTTAAAAAATAAGAGAGGAGACATTAATGCAGGACCCCTTTCTTTACCATGCAAAGGAGGAAATGTCCCTTTTGCTGCTCAAGCCCTCTTTCCCCTTTCGTTCCTTACACTCGCAGGGAGAAGGCTGTCTCCTTCTGAGCAATGTGTTCATGTTGTTTTTGTAAAGATGTTGATGGCTGCTTCAAGCAGTGTCTCAATATCTCCTTTTAAAAAGAACTTTTAAAAGGGCACAAGCAGATACAGTGCCTAAAAACAAGTCCTTTGCAAAGTAAATAAACTGACAACAACATTGACACATGCTGAAATGATATGGAATGAAGCAGTATATGATTGGTATATTTAAAAACAACCCTCCCAGCGAGGGGGGGTGGAAACCAACTGGCTGGCCAAATGACTCTATCTTACCCATGCATCATGTGAAGGGAAATTTATAATACAATTTGAAAAAAAGCAGATTCGATATAACTGGGGTTCTTTTGCCGCATGTGCTCGAGCCCTCAGGCTCTATTTTTCCTGGTTGTGTCTAGCAGATCATAACCATGTGCTGCCTAATCAGGTCCAGCCTTATTTGCAAAACACTGAGCCACTAATATTTGGTTTAAAAGTTCAAGGCAATGAATGATATGGGCAATATAACGTTAATGCATGAGCAGTCAAATGTACCAGTCAAATTCTTTTTTTAAATGTTTAAATAAAGATGTTTAATGGACAGTTACGAATAAGCTGGTATAGAAAGCTGGTCAGAAAGCATGTATTAGTGAACTTGTGTACTGTATATCTGCTGGTGGTTGAAAGGCAGGTTGCAAAGAATGTGACTCAGAAAACTCTTGGGATGTCCCCCTGTAATCATTATGGGGAATCAAAGCAAAGGCCCTAGTAATTTATTTATTTATTTATTCAATTCATATCCCACTCCCATTAGTGTCATTCATGTCACAACACTACTCTGGGTGGATTACAACTCATAGAGTAGCAAACAAAAATAAAATAGAGATATTAAAACAAACCCTAAAAAAAGAGAGATGGCACTAGATAGCAATGCACTTCTAACTGTTCCCTCCCCTTTCACACCGTTCTCATAATGTGTTGTGCTGGATATAACCCTTCTCTGGTCAGCCCCTATAGTCTTGCAGTTAGCAAAGTATCTGAAAATCTAAAGTGAAAAATTAAGCCCAAGGCATACAGTTTTATGTTTCTGTATCTTTCAGGTTTTTCAGCCAGCATCCAACCATAAATGATGACCTCCCGAACTGCATAATTTCAGGGAGAGTTCTAGTGAAACCGAACATCTGCAAATTTACAGAAACTGCTGCCATCTTTGAAGATGGCTCTAAAGAAGATGATATAGATTTTGTTGTCTTTGCAACAGGATACAGTTTCTCATTTCCGTTCCTTGGGGACTGTGTGAGAGTTGTTGATAATCAGGTCTCCTTATATAAGTATGTCTTCCCTCCTCAACTGGAAAAGCCCACCCTGGCTATAATTGGTCTCATCCAACCGCTGGGTGCTATCATGCCCCTTGCAGAAATTCAGGCCCGCTGGGCTACACGTGTATTTAAGGGTAAGTGCCATCATGCTACATGTATGCTACTTGTAATCGTATTAATTTTATGTTTCCAGAATAAGCATCACAAGACACAATTACAAATGTATATTGCCTGGACTTAGTGAGTATTTTATCTCTTGGCACTAGAAATTTTAAATTCAGCTCATCTGCCAATGGATCCTCCTCCTTATTTGAACTCTTCTATCCGAAATACTGCTACCAAAGAGCAGCCAAAGCTTAGCTAGGCACAGAGAACAGCTCCTTGGAAACAAGAATTCCATCCAGCTGAATGAGCTTTCACAACAGTAGAAAGACCTCTCTCCAGAGCACCTCTTGTCCTTATTGGCCTCCTTTCCATATGCCTCCATTGTAGTCATTCAAATCACTGTCTTTTCACATTTGGTTCTCTCTCTCTCTCTCTTTATTTTTTAGGACTTGTTAAGCTTCCATCAGAAAGTGAGATGATGGCAGACATTGCCATGAAGCAAGAATCCATAGCTAAGAGGTATGTAACAGGCCTAACTTGAACAGTTAAAAGCCTGCCAGCCCTTCGTTGTTAATTACTTCCCCCCATTGTCATTATGACTGTATTATTACTGTAATCTTGTATGTGTTATGTGTGTTAAGTCAAGTGAAAACTGACTTAAAATAGGGCTTTCAATTTGTGTCATTCCCTGATAAACCACCAAAATGGTTGAGATACTTAAAGAATGGTTTTATCATGTGCACTCTCCTCACCTCCGTGAATTTCCATGGCCAAGTGGGAATTCACACCCAGATTCCCCGAATCCTAGTTTGCCACTCTGTCCACTAAACACACTGAATATCTACTATAAAACTGAAATGTCTGGCAAAATTGTGGCAAACGAGGGGCTAAACAATTTGAAATAAAAAGAACCAAGGGTGCCCAAAGGAAGAGAACAGAGAAGGCAAGGATGTACTGTTTTGACAGCCGAACAAGCTCAGGATTACCTAATGTGACCGCACTGTTTCCGTGTATTCCAGGCCTGTATTGGGCTAGTTAACCCCTGCATGTACATCAGTGTGGTAGTGCTTAACCTTAACCTGCTCACTTCTCTTTTTTTTCCTGCGTAGTGAATCTGATGTAAATAGTCTTCTCTGAAAACAAAGGATGAACTATAGCTATACTGTTAGCTATAGTGGGCGGCATATAAGTTAAATAAATAAATAAATAGTGTGGAAGCCCTATGAGACTGGCGTTAGAGATTATGCTTTAGTTCATTTAGATGTTAAGCGTTACCAGGTTCAACAGTGGTATCATTCATCATAATGTGGATATAGTGCCAAAAATGTGCCAAAAGATATAGTGCCAAAAGTGCCAAATATAGTGTCAAAAGTGGTTTCTCAGGACAGAAAATTATTAAAAAAAAATCAATGTGATAACTTTTAATCAAAATGCAGCACTGGGAATTGAGGATGATTTGGTTTGCCAGTTGTTTCCTGTCTAGAGTTGTCTGTATTCTCTGTTATCTCTGTTTACCTAATTTCATGTCTCATCTATGTTGAGAATTCCAGATAAAATCAGTAAAGTCAATCTATCCAGTTAAATGTTAAGTAAATGTTCTTGAGTAGACTAGATAGTAGAAAATGGATACTTGAGTAGTAAACAGAACTTCCTTGGACTTTTGATAAAGATATTTCTTAGAAACAGACTAAAAGTGAAGTTTTGCATATTTTGGAGAACATGAGGTAAGTGGAACCTTGCCCCTGACTTTTTTTGTTGGTGGTACTGTGCGCTCCATTGCTGATGCTGGTAATCTAGTCAGAAAATCAGAGAACATACAACTGAAAATTATCACCCAGTTTGAACCACACAATTTGTTATGAAAAAAAGATTAGCTTCAGGATGTATATTCAGAGACAAAGATGAGGATGTTTGCCTGTTCAGCATGAACGGAGGGGGGAACTGTTGAAGTACATCAGAATACTGAGCTTTAACATATACTAAGGACAGTGGTTCCCAACCTTGGGTCCCCAGATGTTCTTGGACTAAAACTCCCAGAAGTGTTCACCACTAACTGTGCTGGCCAAGAACCTAAGGAACAATGGTCTGAACCACGTTTCTTCCACTGGTGATACCAGTATGTCAGCAATCTTCTACTATATCTTTCTTGCTTACCATATCTTGATCATATCATTCTTTTAACAAACATTGCTTTGGAACAATGTTGGCCTCCAAAGTAATATATACATCTGTTGAATACAGAATATAAGCATCATAAGCTTTAAGGGATGTAGTGGAAACTAACTGTTTTGATAGATTAAGAGGGGATTACACAAATTCAAGAAGAATGAGATTACCAGTGGTTACTAGAGTCATTATCACTGTATACTGCTTCTGTGATCAAACTAGAAGCTCTTGTTTTGAATACCAGTTGCTGGAGAAAAACAATAGAAAATGACTGCACCTGGGCTTCCTACATATATTTGGTTGGGTACTGCAGACACGACAATACTGGACAAGATGGGCCTTTATCTGATCCAGCAATATGTTCTTATGGACATATTGCTTAAAGCAAAAAGGTTTAGCATATGAATAATTCTGTTTCCTCAAGATTGCTATTGTCTGATCACAGAAAGGGTTGATGGTAAGTTTTGAGTGTACTGCATTTCCAGTGAAATTGGACTTTTTTTGTTGTTAGTAGTAAAATTGTGAAGGGTAATTTAAAGCACAAGCTCTGTTGTAAAAGTGGGAAAGGGAGCATCATGTTGCTAACTGTATGGATGATGTGCTATATATATTTTAGCTTTAGCATTACACTATTTTAGGGTGACTTGTTGCCATGTTATTGAATGATTCAATGCTATTCTAGTGATGCCTACATGCCATTTAAAAATAAGAATATCGCTATCTTTAAAAAGAGCAAAAAGGGGGAACCAGAGAACCACAGACTAGCCAGCCTGATATCAATTTCAAGGAAAATTATAGAGCAGATTAGAAAGCAGTAGCTTTGCAAACACCTTGAAATAAATGCAGTAATAACTAGAAGCCAACATGATTCTATCGAACAAATTGTGCCAGATTAATTTTACCTCATTTTTTGATCAGGTAACTTCTCTGAGAGGCTGTGGGAATGCTGTAGATGTAAATATATCTTGACTTCATAAAAGCTTTCAACTAAGTGCCCCATGACATTCCAATTAGCAAGCTAACTAGGTGGGTTGGATAGAACAACTGCCAGGTGGATACAGAGTTGGTTTCAGAATTGTTCTCAGAGAGTTCCTATCAATGGCTCCTCCTCAGACTGGGAGGAAGTAACAAGTGGGGTACTACAAGGTTCAATCGTAGATCCAGTGCTTTTCACTATTTTTTTTATTAATGACTTGGTTGAGGGGACAAAGGGTATTCTTATCGAATATGTGGATGAAAAAAATTGGGTGGAATAGTTAATATGCTGGAACAAAGAAACAAAATTCAAAGATACCTTGATAGGCCCGAGCACTGGGCTGTTGAATAAATACAGAATGAAATTTTGCAGGGATAAGAACAAAGTTCTACACCTAGGAGAAAGAAACCAAATGCACAGTTACAAGATGTGGGATATTTGACTCAGTAATACTACATGAGAGAAGAATCTTAGGTTTGTTGTAGATCATAAGAATTAACAGTGCAGGGCCACGGCAAGAAAGGCAAGTGCAATTTTAGGCTGCATTAACAGAAATAATGCTGGCTGGTCAGCTCCGTGATTTAGGCAGCTGGCTGTGGAGCCAGAGGTTGAGATTTGGATTCCTCACTCTCCCTCCTATGAGTACAGCCGGCCTGTGTGGTCTTGGGCAAGCTCCACAGTCCCAGGGGGCCCCCAGGAGAAGAGGATGGTAAACTACTTCTGAGTATTCTCTACTTGGAAAACTTTGAAAAGTTTTGCCCTAAGTCAGAATTGCTTTGATGGCACGCCATTATTATTAACAGAAATATAGTCAACAAATTTCTTGAAGTACTAGTTCCTCTCTTTTTGGCACTGGTTAGCTCTTTTAAGAAGAATTCAGAGAAACTGGAAGCAAGTTCAGAGGAGGACAGCAAAGATGATCAGAAGACAGGAAACCAAGCCCTATGAGGAAAGATTGAAAGAACTAGATCTGTTTAGCCTTGAGAAAAGAAGACTGAGGGGTGATAGGATAGCAGTTTTCAATTACTTGAAAGATTGGCATACAGAAGAGAGGCAGGATCCGTTCTCAATTATCCAAAAGTGCAGGACACAGAATAATGGGCTTGTTACAGGAAACCAAAATTTGGTTGAGTATCAGGGAAAATTCCTTGTTAGAGCGGTACAGCTATGGAAACAGTTATCTCAGGAGGTGGTGAGCTCTCAAACACTGGAGGCATTCAAGAGAAAGTTAGACAGCTATTTGTCAGATATACTTTGATCTGTATTCCTGCACTGAGCAGGGGGTTGAAGTTGGTGGCCTTATAGGCCTCTTCCAATACCATTATTCTGTGAGAGTAATAATGGAGGACGGGCTAGGAGAGAGGTGGCAAAGATGATAAGTAAAGACAGGAAAGATGATAACAGCAGGGTAATTTGTAGCAGTTGGGGACTAGGGAGCGGAAGGAAGGTGTGATAGCCCATGGGACATTCACAGAATGAAAAAGGGTTGGCTTTGAACCTCCCATTGGTAAGTTAACTTGAGAAATGCTTTGAGACATTTACATGTGGAGCAAAAGCAGCTTCTGGTCTCAGTGGATTAGGCTAGAGTGAGTTGCACAGCTCTGCCCCCTAAGCGTGACTATATCTGCAGAAGTTTCCAGAGAGACAGTTCTTCTGTTGTATTACCCTTGCTGTTGCTGCAAGAAGAGAATGCTGTGGCACCTCTAAAGACTAATATATTTATTATAGCATATACTTGAGTTTTGTTTAATCTTGCCATTATCAGCAGCCTGGTGTCCCCTTAGAATCTCTCTCTGTGTGTGTGTGTGAGAGAGAGAGAGAGAGAGAAAGAGACAGAAGGAGACTTGGATCATTTTGGTTTGGGTTCTTGAACAGAGACAGAGACAGAGACAGAGACAGAGACAGAGACAGAGACAGAGGGAGACTTGGATCATTTTGGTCATTGTTCTTGAACATCTCAGTGAGGCTATGTAGTGCTTTCATCTTCTAGCTATGAAGATGACATTGTTACAGAACGATTCCAATAATGCTTTACTTAACCAAATTGCAAAGTGTATGGATTTTGTTTTTTTCTTTCAGGTATGTGAAAAGCCAACGCCATACCATCCAAGTGGACTATATTGAGTATATGGATGAACTGGCCTGTCTGATTGGTGTGAAGCCCAATGTGTGGTCTCTGTTGCTCACAGACCCCAAGCTGGCCTTGCAGGTTATATTTGGGCCTTGCACCCCATATCAGTATCGCTTGCAAGGGCCAGGGCAATGGGATGGAGCCAGGAAAGCTATCTTGACACAGCATGACCGGGTTTTGAAACCTCTGGCGACTAGGCAGACCGACAACTCAGAGCGCAGTGCCGGGGTGCCTCTTTTGTTAAAGCTGATTGGCCTTGTTGCTCTCTTTGCTGCAGTTCTGGTATTTTTCTAAGTGCTAAAAATTCAAATTGTTAAATGTCAGGTGGAATTAGACTGATTTTTAAAAAAACTATATCAAGAGGAAGGGGGATCTCTAGCCCACAAGGTGAACCTGGCCCATTAGACCACACCATCTGGCCCACACAGCCACATATGCTTGTGTCTGAGAGTGTTCCTCAAATTTGCAGTTCACTTCCCTTGCCTTCCTTCTGTGGGAAGGAAGGCAAGGGAAGAATTAAGCTTATCTCACATTCTTCCAGTGATTTGGGCAGCCGCTGAGTCTACCTCCCTCCTCTCATGCATTTGCTGTGCTGAGAAGGCATGGGAGGTTCTAAACATTTTTTAAAATTTCACCAATGATGAAGGAGTTGCTTCTCAAATACTGGCTGAGTTTGCTTCAGTTGCCACTTTATGACTCTCGGATGACGAGAAGCACTGAAGCAGCCGTGCTTTACTCCATAGATTTCCTGCTGTAGGGCAAAGCATGGATTGCCATGTGCCTCCCTTTACATACAGAAAGACACAGTCCCTTTTTAAAATGTGAGCTCTTGTAGACAAGTCCAGGAAAACTCACATTTTCTGCTAAAAACTCACATTAATATCTTAATATGCCCCACATTTTTATCTTTTATTTTTATTTTGTTTTCATCTATAAAGCTGAGTTTTTTAATAAATACTTCACATTTGATAATCTGTTGAAGTGCCAAGCTGCTACAGATTTCATCTTAGATCTCTGATACTGCTTTCTATTTCTCTAAATAATTTATTTTGTGAAGAAACAATATAATTTGTGTTATTTGTTAGTTTTTAGAATTAAAGAATTCAAGATAAAGAGTAGTCATATTTTTCTACACCGTGCTATAAATTTTGCAGGGTTTCTTTTTGTAGTTAATTTTTTTTTAAATTGTCAGTCCTTGTGCCTTAGGAATACACAGTTGAGATTAATATAATACACTCTGAATCAGGATTGCCTCCAAAAAGCCTTCAAAAACTTCAGGTATTTTTCCAAAGGATTTCAAAAGAGCTGTTGACCAATACATGACCTCCTTGCTTGCTACCATGACTGCTACTCTGTTTTTGGCACAGTGCAAAGTGCCGGTTATCATGTGTAAAGCCCATTAGAGCTTGGACCCAGGAGATCTGAACATCCAGGCTCTCTCTAATCATAGTCTTTTCTCTTGGTCCTCCACTCAAGCATGTTTGTTGGGCACTTGAAAGGGTCTGCTCGGTGGCTACTCGGACTGCAGAAATCTCTGCCAAAAGAGTCTATGCTGGTCTCCTCTCTAGTATCTTTCAATTGGCAGGCAAAGAAGGCTTTCAGCAACCATGTCTGCTAAAAAGAGGCCTTTTATCAGACTGATACTGTACCTTTAAAAATGTACTTTTAAGTTACTTTTAATACTGCAATTGTTTTAATACTACAGTTTTTAAAATTGTGTTTTAGCATTATTTTTTGTCTTGTACTGCTCTTGTCTGTACATAGGGATAATTAGGTTAACTAGGATAACTGTAGATAACTAGGAATTCAAGAATAATGGGGGTTGAATGGGACCTATAAAGCCATTAAGTGCTAAACCCTGCCCAATACAGGAATCCAGGTTAAAGTAAATCTGACAGATGTCTGTCTTGTACTGCTCTTGTCTGTACATACTTTTAAGCTTATCAGATGTGCTGAAACCCAGTGTTGGGAGAAAGGTGTGATATAGATGAAATAAATTTAAATAAATTCATAAAATAAATAAGCATTAAAATAATGCCGGACTATTTTGCTTCATTGGTACCATCTTGTTTCCTTTGAACATGCATTTCAGAGCTTTGGGCAAAATCCATCCATTAAAGTGTGGCTACAGCAAACATGTCACTCAAAACGTCTCTGGAAACCAATTTTTTTTTCTGGAAATGGAGTGATTATATTCAGATGGGTGATATGGTTGGCTACTGATAGACAATGGAGTGCATTTACTTCCAGGCTTTGGGCTTTGCCAACCTACATAGCACGAAAATACTGTACTGTATTTCAAGGGGCAAATTAAGATTCCCATGAATGAATTTTTTTTTCAGTTTAAAGATTTCTCAGGAGAAACTATTTGTGCTTATTTAGAATTTAAAATAGTTTCCATGTTTTGGTTTTTAAATTACTAAATTTTTTTCTTAATGGTAAAGGAGAGTTGAGCTATGATGACTTTTCAGTTAAGAAGGGGTGTGATGCCAAACAAATCCGGTAACATTAGTATAGTCAGTGAAAAACATTCCAAAGAACTGAAGTGTGCCACTAGTGGTTGAAGATGGGCCTTGCTGTTAAAGTTACTATTCCTGTTTCCTTTTGCTCTTATATTCTGGCCATCTGCTTGCATATAAAGCTTAACCAGAAAGCACAATATGCTCTTTGTTTATGTGTCATCAACCACCGTGAAGGACAGGAGGCTAGTGAGGTGTCCTCAACAAAGAATGGACAGAAGGAGGCGTGTGGAGGTGCAGAGGGTGTGCTAATAGAAATAGAAGAGGAAGGAGGAAAAGAAAGGAAAGCGGTAGAAGTGTGCTTGGCAGAAGACAAGGAGGAGGACCAGGGGGAGGAGCAAGATCTGATAGTGTGGGAGGAGGTTATAAAAGAGTGGAGTGATGCGTGGGAATTTAGAGTGGCAACAGACAAGACAGAGAAAAGCACCAAAGATAGCGCGGTACAAACAGAAAGGAATGATGAGACACCCGACAAGGTCTGTAACTTACTGAAAGATTTCCCCAACCTTAAGACAGGAGGAGGATTACTCCCAGATCCAAGCTTACCCAGAAACGAAGGGAAAGGGGCAAAACCACTAGAACGGATGGTGGTGGTTTACACCTGCAACCAAGGTGGGGGAGGAAGGTGATCCGTCCTGGTCCCTCTTACAACAATCCACCCCTAGAAGGGGACTGGGTGAGACACCCTTGCTGCGGGGCGGTATGTGCAGTAAGGAGCATCCCCTTGAGGGTGATAACTGATCGCGAGCACTTTGGTCCAGCCCCAATGTAAGAAGTGACATATTTACGCCAGGAGCTAAGATCTGATGTTACAAGACGATTCCAGAATTGAGCTGTTTCGCTCCGTTTAATTTGGTTAATTCAGAAGTTGATGTTAATAAAGTTGAGCCAGTTGGACTCTCAAAATCGTATCTGTCTCTTATTCCCGCCAAAATGAGGGAACCGTCACCAATTTTTGAAGAACCTGATCACAACCACCTAGTTCATCTGCACAATCTAGCTCTTCCTGCTTTCTGTGTTAAGTTTACCAGACTTTAAAAGAATTGTCTATCAAACAGAAGTGATAAATCATTGCACATATGAAATGCAACCATACAGCATTGTCTCTTACAACTAACTGTGCATGGATTTGTGTGATTTCTGTATTTTATGTCATGTCTGAAGTGGGCAAAGATCCAGAAAAGCTTACATTAAAATATAACGGTTACTCTTTAAGATGCCACTATGTTCTTGTCCTTTTTATTTTGTTTTTGTTTGATCTATGTGTCAATGAATTCTGCCTGAAGGGGAATATTCAGGGGTTTGTTGCAAGCTAAGCCCATTCAGTCCTCCATAGCAACTTTTTGCTTTCTAATAACAAATACATTACTCATTTTAATCAGTGAACTTTGAGACATGAAATCAAAACAAGACAGGAGCAGCAAAGTAGAAATGTGTTGTGAAAAATCTTAATGCATATACCTTTGTTGTTGTTGTTTAGTCGTTAAGTCATGTCCATCTCTTCATATACCTTTACAGACTACTAAAAAAATTATCATACAATATGCAAGCTTTCATGGATAAAAAAACCACTTCATTGGGCTTGTAGCACTGTGAAGTAATTAAAGTCCAAAAGTTCATGGCAAGATGCATTTTGTCAGAATTTTCCTGGCTAGGAGACAGACAGTCTTTTTGAGATGTTGAAGAAGAATGACCTAATGTGAGAAAGAAGCAGCCCTTTGCTGTGGGAGTGGGCGGTGAGCTGCAGAGGGCTACAAAGCGGTGTATACCATTACCAGTTGTATCTCAAATGAATGTGTGCAAATAAAGAGCAGGAAAGATGGAGAAGAAAAGCACAGGGAACTAACGGACGGGGAGAAAAGAGGGGGTAGTGATTGAGGAGGAGATAGAAGAGGGCTTGGATTGGGGAGAGGAGGCAGGAGAGAAGGAGAAAAGAAATGAGAAGAAATAATTTCCATAGGATGGGGTTGGCTAGAACTAGAAGACCATTGGTCCCAATGAAAGAGTAAAGATAGAAAGAAGACAGAAGAAAGGAGACAGAGGAAAAAAACTGCACCTAAACCCTTGCATTGGGAAGAACATGGAAGGAAAGAGCAAAGAAAGGAGGAGAAGGGACAGCAGTCCAGCTAGAGGTTCCTTTCTGTTCTTTTTGAATACTACTTTATATCTTTGTATTCCAGTCATGGGAATCCATCCACCCAATGTCAGTTATTCCTATCAAGTCATATTTGCCCTTCTGAACTAAGACAATATACTGTACGAGGGACTGTAGAAGATCAAGTTTAGGCCAACAGGAGGACAAGATGATGTGCAGACTATGCCCAGATTAAGGAAAGACTGATTGGTCCAGCTGTCATAGAGGTTGAAGCAGAGATTAATTCGTTAATAAATGAAACTGAATAGAATGACAGAAAGAAGGGAATGGCAACTTCAGACTCTATTGCAAGGCTCCCAGATCCAAAGTGTGTTTCCATGTACGCCATGAAATACAGTGTTTAGAAGATGACAAGCCGGGTTTTACAGAGGGTTCTGTTGGCTAGGACTGACATTCAACAAATGCTATGTGCCCAATGATATAAAATATCTGTAGGCAAAGGAGAAACTGTGTTTCCTGCCTCAAGAGACAAATCAATATATGGCTAGGAGGATTGCTCTGTTTGCAGGAAAAGCTATCAGATTCAGGAAGAATGTTGTGGATTCTAGTTTGGCAAACAGTTTAAGAGACCTGAAGGTATGATTAACTTGATAAAAACCACTAAGGTCACCAATCATGTTTTCATTTTGGAAACCTTAATTTGTTAAATTAATTTGTTTAGATATAATGCTTTTAATTCTCATTAAAGTAAATCAGAATATATTATTTATTCATATTCTCAGAAGAATATTAACATAAAGTGGAACTATGTGCACTAACATTAACTTTGGTACACTGAGTTCATGACAGAAAGCCTCAGTATAAAAGCTTTTTTCTCTTCTATCTCTGTCAGAGGCCTATTAAGTCAAAACAGAACAGATCTTTTGGGTGGCTGTTCCTAGGTTTTGGAAGCCTTGACGAGGAAGGCCCTATTAGCTTTATCCGTGGTCTCCTTTTGCCAAGAGGCAAAGACATTGCTGCTCAGGTCTTCCCTGCAGTAGGCAGCCACGTTTACTTTCTGCAGAACACAATAAAAAAATCCTACCTTAAAAACTATAAAAAAAATGGAAAAGCTTCCATGAATTGTACACTTAATTAGATTAAGACAAATAAAACATGTTAATTTAGACCCTTCTTTTTTATATGTGTGCATTTATGTAGGCAGGATTTATTGAGCCATTCTGCAGATGAAAGTTGTAATCAGGTGGCTGATCTGGAATTTGTGTCTTGGCAACTGGACTTCTTCCTTATTAGGTTGAAATGTTTCGCGGCTCATCCAAGTAGCTTCTTCAGTCTGAGGACAGTTGGTAGAAGACTCTTGATATATCCTTCCCAGTTGGTTTTACTTCCCCCTTGTCTGAACAGGCTCCTTAGATGAATAACTTCCCCCAAAGATTTTTCAAACCAGGGGGAAGTGAAACCAAGGTGGAGGATAGATCAGGGATCTCTTACCAACTTTCCTCAGATTGAAGAAGCTGCTTAGTTAAGCAGCAAAACATTTCAACCAAGTAAGAAAGAAGTCCAATTACCATGACTCAGCTTCCAGATAACCTCACCTGGATGACTGAGAATCTTCTCAGACAGGTGGCCGATCTTCTTTCTTTATTAAAAACACATTGTTTGCGGGTTTTTTTATTTGTTGGGACTGTTGTGCTTGGATGTATGTGTGAATGAATGGAATTTATTACGCTCAAAGACCATCACCACACAAATTGCTCGGTGCAACCATTTTTTAATGGCTCAAAATTTCAGTAAATCAGTAGGCAAGCGGGCCCTTCCTCGCTGCCCCCTTCTCCTCCTCCTCCTCCTCCTGTTTAACAGGGCGGCTGTGCACAGGGAGGGCAGCGAGGAGAAAATCGGCTGCCTCGGGCAGAGTGTGGCGATCCTCATCCTCCGTAGGCTCTCCAGGAGCGATTTTCCCTGGCCTCCGCTTCCTCCTTGCTCCCACCAGCCCTTGCTCTTCACCACTTCGCCTCCTTCCATTCTCGTTCTTCTCCACGCGAAGCTCCCCCGCCATGATCGGCAGCGCGCGCGGGGGGGGGGGGACTCGTCCCTTTCCCTTTTTAAACCTGGCCCCAGGGCGGCCTTATCTTAGCCGGCGCAGCAAGGAGAGCGGCGGCGTGTGGTGCGCAGGCGCACTTTTTCTACGCTCGTTGCCATTTTGGCAGGAGGTGGTGGTGGTGGTGGTGCCGCCGAGTTAAGGCGGAAGGAGCGCTGAAGGTGAGTGGGGAGTGTGTGCGCGCGCCGTGGAGTTGCCTCTCGGGGGAGGGGACGGATACCGCGCAGCAAAGAGGTGTGTGTGTGGGGGGTTGATGTTGAAGAAGAAGAAGAGGGGGCGGCAACTTCGCAACCTGCGCCATCTCAGGAGCCCTGACGGCGGGGGCGGGGGCGTCCGGGCTTCCGGCTCCAGGGCTTGGGCTGCCATTCGGACAATCTGTTTCCTATGTTGCGAGAATAAATGGGAAAACGGGGCGAGGCTTAGGTGGGATCCAGACGGGGTTGCTCCTGGCGCGAGGGCTCCTAGGGTTGCAAGTCAGATATTCCGCCTCTTCTTCTTTCCTAGCCCTTTTATGGAAAGGAAGAAAGACTGGAGAAGCCTTGGGCGCATAACAATAGAAATGGATGGTGGTTTGATTCCCTTTAAAATTCTGAGAGGCAGGTCAAGGCAACTGTAGGGCAAAAGCCTTGGTTGGGAAGGATTCCACCCCCCCCCCGTCAGCTTGACTTGCGATCCTTTGAATCATGACTTGAGTTTCATGATTCCAGTAAGAACTGCAAGATTTCTGCTATACAAGTTATAGCAGTTTGGTTCTTCTTGAATAGCCATCGCTCCGTCCTCCAGAATCTATTGGTTTGGTGCTGATGCATTGTCTCTGCTAGAGAGCTTCGTTGTTGTTTAGTCGTTAAGTGGTGTTGGACTCTTTGTGACCCTATGGACCAGAGCACGACAGGCCCTCCTATCTTCCGCCGCCTACCGGAGATGGGTCAGTTTCATGTTGGTCGCTTCGGTGACATTCTCCATCCATCTCATCCTCTGTCATCTCCTTCTCCTCTTGCCCTTACACTTTCCCAACATTAGGGCCTTTTCCAGGGAGTCTTCTCTTCTCGTCATATGGCCAAAGTATTGGAGCCTCAGCTTCAGGATCTGTCCTTCCAGTGAGCACTCAGGGTTGATTTCCTTCAAAATGGATAGGTTTGATCTCTTTGCAGTCCAGGGGACTCTCAAGAGTCTCCTCCAGCATCACAATTCAAAAGCATCAATTCTTTTTTGGTCAGCCTTCTTTATCTTTCAGCTTTCACTTCCATACATAGCTACTGGAAAAACCATAGCTTTGACTATGCAGACTTTTGTTGTGGCAAGGTGATGTCTCTGCTTTTTAAGATGCTGTCGAGGTTTGTCATCGCTTTCCTCCCAGGAAGCAGGCGTCTTTTAATTTTGTGGCTGCTGTCACCATCTGCAGTGGTCATGGAGCCCAAGAAAGTAAAATCTGTCACTGCCTCCATATCTTCCCTTTCTGTTTGTCAGGAGGTGATGGGACCAGTGGACATGATCTTCATTTTTTTTATTTTGAACTTCAGACCATTTTTGTGCTCTCCTCATTCACTCTCATTACGAGGTTCTTTAATTCCTCCTCAATTTCTGCCATCAGAGTGGTATCATCTGCATATCTGAGGTTGTTGATATTTCTTCCGGCATTTGGGATTCATCCAGTCCTGCCTCTCACATGATGTATTCTGCATATTAGTTAAATAAGCAGGGAGACAATATACAGCCTTGTACTCCTTTCCCAATTTTGAACCAATCAGTTTTTCCATATCCAGTTCTACCTGAAGATAGAGAAGGTGGTCAAGCACTCCCATTTCTTTAAGAACTTGCCACAGTTTGCTGTGGTTCACACAGTAAAAGGCTTTTGCGTAGTCAACGAAGCAGAAGTAGATCTTTTTCTGGAACTCTTTGGCTTTCTCCATTAACCAGTGCATGTTAGCAATTTGGTCTCGAGTTCCCCTGCCCCTTTGAAATCCAGCTTGTACTTCTGGGAGTTCTTGGTCCACATACTGGTGAAGCCTACCTTGCATGATTTTGAGCATAACCTTGCTAGCATGTGAAATGAGTGCAATTGTACAGTAGTTGGAGCATTCTTTGGCACTTCCCCTCTTTGGGATTGTGATGTAGACTGATCTTTTCCAATCCTCTGGCCACTGCTGAGTTTTCAAAGTTGCTGGCATATTGAGTGTAGCACCTGGACAGTGTCATCTTCTAAGATTTTAAATAGTTCAACTGGAATGTCATCACCTCCACTGGCCTTGTAGTTAGCCATGCTTTCTAAGGCCCACTTGAATTCGCTCTCCAGGATGTGCCACCTCTTCTTGATGTCTTCTGCTTCTGTGAGGTCCCTACCATTTTTGTCCTTTATCATGTCCATCATTCCACAAAACGTTCCTTTAATATCTCCAATTTTCTTAAACAGATCTCTGGTTTTTCCTTTCTGTTCTTTTCCTCTATATCTTTGCACTGTTAATTTAAGAAGGCCGTCTTGTCTCTTCTTACTATTCTTTGGAAGTCTGCAGTATTGGACTTTCCTTTCACTTCCAGGTGCATCTGTAGCTGAGCGTCCTTTTGGCTTTGGCCCAACCACTTCATTAGCCTGGAGCTACTTGTACTTGTCCTCTGCTCTTCGTCAGTAGCATGTTGGATGCCTTCCGACCTGAGGGGCTCATCTTCCAGCATAATATCTTTTAGTCTTTTGTTTCTATCCATGGAGTTTTCTTGGTAAAGATACTGGAGTGGCTTGCCAGTTCCTGCTCCAGGGGGATTGGACTTAGTCAGAACTCTCCACTATGACCTGTCTATCTTATGACATGTCCATCTTGGGTGTCCCTGCACGGCATAGCCCATAGCTTCTCTGAGTTACTTAAGCCCACCACGACAAAGCAGCAATCTGTGAAGAGAGCTTTAGCACACCCCTGAAGTGCAGTGCTGGATTGTTCCAGGAGAGGATTCAGAGTAATTTAAGATTACCAAGGTTTACCTTTGGAAGGTGTTTGGAAACTTCAACAGGTCCAAAATACTGCAGCCAGGTTGTTAACTGGAGTTGGTAATGGAGATCACATAACCCACCCTGTTACATGAACTTCATTGGTTGCCAAACCATTTGTGGGCACAATTCAACATTCTGGTTTTAATCTTGCTGTTGTGTGCTGTCAAGTTCGAAGTGACTTATAGGGACCCTAATAGGGCTCTCAAGGTAAGTGTGGTATTTAAAGAGTGGTTTTACCAATGTCACAGCCCTAGTGAGTTCCTATGGCTGAGTGGTGATTTGAACCCAGGCTTCCTGTGTCCTATTCCATCATTCTGTCTACTACACCACACTGGATATCCTGGTTTTAACCTATAAAGACCTAAATGGCTTGGGTCCAGGTTATCTCAAGGAATGCATGTCATTTTATGAGCCTGCCCAGGGCTTGGGTCCAGGTTATCTCAGGGAATGCATGTCATTTTATGAGCCTGCCCAGCTGTTAAGATCATCAGGAGAGGCCGTCCTGTGACTGCCATCTTCACAGGTGCACTTGATAGGGACACAGGAGAGGGCCTTCTCTGTTGTTGCTCCCAGACTCTGGAACTCCCTCCTACAAGAGGCCAGACCGGCCCCATCTTTACTGTCCTGCAAGCAGGCAAAGACCCTTCTCTTCAGACAGTATTTTCGTTAGTGCTAGACTGTCTAGGAGAGGTTTTAAAATGGGATGGTTTGTGTTTTGTTGTTTCTAAATTTGTTTTAGTAATACTTTACCTAACATTCTTAATATAATGTTATTAATTTGTTTCATATTTGAATAATTCATTGTTTTAAGCTTCAATATTGTGTTTTAATAATGTGAAATGCCTCGGATCTTAGAAGAAAGGTGGGAAACAAACAAACAAACAAATTAATTAATTAATTTGTTAGAATGAAGCCATGATAGTTAAAGTAACATGGTAGAATGAAGCCATGATAGTTAAAGTAACATCACGTTGCTATAGCAGTATAGCAGAGACATTCTTAATTTCATGGGAAAAATCTGCTTTATGGATAATGCGGAAAAGTTTTCCGTAAGAGTCCAAAGGTTGCTGGTACATATCTGTGAGAGTTAATGCAAGTCCTCTGAGACTGAGTCTCAAGCCTCTTTGCAGCATTCTTTAGGATTTTTGCACCCCTTTCCTAAAACCCAAAGGCTGCCAGTTACAGTACTCTGTGGTTGCCCCCTCCCCACCCCCCAAGCACACACTCACACTGCCTGGTTTGAAATGTCCCATTTCTGGTAACTGTGGGAGTGAGACTGTTGTTTGGATCTAACTCTCCACCCCCTCACAGCTGTCCAGCTCCCCTTGCAGGCAAAGTGAAATAGAAGTAGTTAAGGTAGCCCTGGTGTTGAGAGACAACCCTGATGGAGTCCCAAGGTGCAAATTAAATCCCAAAGGACATCTCTTTAGGAAGATGCATTAATATTACTGAAAAGTTAATGGAGGTTTTAAGGCAGTGATGGCAAACCTCTTTGAGCCCAAGTGCCCAAACTGGAAAACAAAACCCAGCGGGCAGCAGGTAGTGGGGGTGGTGGAAATGGTGGCAGCTGAAGTGGAAATCCAGGCACGGAGGTGCCTCCAGACCCCACTCCAGATCTGCCTCCAGTCATGCCCAACCCTGCCACTACCTATAACTCCGTTGGCCCGCCAGTGCCAGCTGCTCTGGATCTTAGCCTGCCGGGTGCTAGCACCACAGCTGCAGACTCCTCCTCAGGTTTGGCAGCCAGGGGTACCGATCCGGCGACTTATGGCTTGTGTGCCCACAAAGAGGGCTCTGCGAGCCAGCTGTGGCACGCATGCCATAGGTTAATCATCCTGTTTTTAATGTATGAGAGACACAGAAATCAAAGCTAGATTCACCAGCATTTGACTTCTGAACTTGTTTTCACTGCCAGATTTAGCCATCCAACATGGAAAATAGTTAGGATGAAGAGCATTTTCAAGCATGTATAGAATGCAACCCAACCCATTTCTGAAATGTTATAGTTTAGGTTCCCACTTGAGTCAAAATGTAGGAGAACAGTTCATGAAAGCAGTGAAAAGCTGTAGCATCTCACATTTTGGAACGAAGCACTAAATATGGAAGAGTAAAGGGGAATAGAGACTGTTTGGCAGGATTCTGTCTGCTGTTAATTTGCCAGTTTATTGCATACGTTACATAACTCTTTTGAAGAGACCTTTTGGTTCTGTTTTGTTGAACATTATGAAATTTGTCATTTGCTGTTAGTTTAATGCAGTTTTAGAATATGAGGAGTATTTCTGAATTAGTACTTAAAGTTTTGTATTTTTAAAGTAACATTTTGTACACTATATTATTATGAAGAGTGATGTATTTAATAAATTAGGTTAGGAAGAACAACCTTCAGAACACGGCCAAAGAGCCCGAAAAACCCACAACAGCCATTAGATCCCGGCCGTGAAAGCCTTCGCGAATATATTTAATAAATTGTTTGTTGCAGCAGTGAAGATAAAAACATCTGAACAAAATGTGTATAGTGGCATTAGGTTTTTGATTTCCACTGGATTTCAGTCATTTTGCCAAATTAAATAAACAGAAGAATCCAAATGAGCAATTCAAAAACTGTGTTGCTTGTTACATCATACGTTATTCAAGAGTAGAGTGAGGGCGCTTCCACACGAGGCTTTTATTGTTCAGCCCAACCCCATTCATCAAGTTTAACATTGCTTTCTGCTTGTAAACCTCCCATATTTTCTTCTTCCATTTCTTCCATTCCTCTTCTTTCCTCAAAAATCAGTTGAGAAAATAAGAGAATAGCTGCACAGTGGCGTTTGATTGGTATCGATAAGACTGTTGTACCTGAAAGTGCCCAAGAGAAAGTGCAAAGAAGTACACTGAAAACCTATGTAGGTCAGGCCTTTGTTTGCCATACTGGAACATGCTCAGGCAGTTTGTACTTGGACACGGCTCTCTTTCCCAAAGAAAGCATTTTGAAATGCAGACTGTAGCTCTTGTCACAGTCTCATTTCTACTTGCAAAATAGATTTGTTCGATCAGCCTGGCACCAAAATTACTGTTTCATTCGTATCCATCTGAGCGGCTTTCCATAGGTGCTGGTTGGTGCTGTGCGCACAGAATTCTCAGAATGCCAGGAGGGGTTCTTAAATTCCTAGATTCCTCAACAATGACCTTATTACAGTCAGCAGCCTTTCTCTTTTCCAGAAATGTAGGAATCTGCCTTATAGTAAGTCTGATGACTGGTCCACCTAGCACAGTATTGCCAGTCCTAATTGTCAGCAGCTGCCCAATAGGGTTTCAAGAAGGATTCTCTCCTGTTCCTACTTGGAGAGCTCAGACATTCCTTACCTGGTATTAACCTGCCCAACTCTGTTTAGTTTCTGAAATCAGGCAAGATCCGTGTGTTCAGTATGGCATGGTAATTAGAGGAAAGACCATAGCCTCATGATAGAGCACGTGCCTTGCATGCAGAAAATCCTGTGTTTGCTCTCAGACATCGGGAGCTATGACTAGCAAAGAACCCTGGAGAGCACCTGCCCAGTAAGAGCTGGCAGTACAGGACTAGATAGATTAGTGATCTGACTCATGAAAGGCAGCTATTTTTCCTATTTTCTCTTTGGTTAAGACTTGCAGTGTTCTCGAGCTGGTTGCAACTTGCTGACAAAGTAGTTTGCACATCTCCCTGCCTAATGTATTTTTTTTTTATCTTGTTCTACAGCCGTGTCTTTCACATGAGCCAGCTTGGGGAGTTTCACCCTGTCCCTTTTATTTTCCTGTGCTCTTTTGTTTGAAAACAGATTTATTCTGGCTCCTGTCTTCTTGAGCAGTTTTATTTGAAGGCTGCTGAACAGCTGCGACTTTCACTCTGCAAGCTTGCTGGGTGTATGTTTCCTTCTCTGTATAGCCTTTCCAAGTGATCTGAAATTTTACAGGGTGATAGATACAGTTTTAATTTTAGTAACTGTAAAAGTAATTTGCATGTGCTTGGTGATATTAGGAGCAGAGTTGCATACTATCTTAGTGAACAGTATGCAGCTGTACCAAGAGATGTCATATGTGCCAGATTTTGGCATTGTGAAGAAAGCCATTGAAAACTCTTAATCTTGCCACTGGAAAGCCATGACCCAGAAACCTTGACCTTTGGCAGGGGCTTCTGGGAATTGGTGACTAACAACATTTGGGAATCCTATTGTAAAGCAAGATGCAGTACCTTCTTATGGCTCATGTGGAACTGGAAGAACACATCTGAACACACAGAGAATTCTAATTTATACTCAGCCTTGTCTTTTGCATTCCTTCTGCAGTCTGCCATGGGAAACACCACTAGCGAGAGGGTGTCTGGCGAACGTCATGGCTCCAAGTCTCACCGTTCTGATGGGGCCAGCAGCACCCACCATACCAAGGATCATTCACACAAGATCATGGTTGGAAGTACTGATGATCCGAATGTCTTCAGCACCCATGACTCCAAGGTACAGGAACCGTGCCTCAATGTACTCTCAGGCCGGACTGCCAGTTTGAAATCTGTTCTGCTAGTTGATGCCTTTTGTGTCTTCCTAGGCAACAATGCAAATAGCACTATCAGCACGATGTTTCTGGTATGCATAGGTGTCACCTGTGGCTTGAAACACAGTTTACAATGACCTGGTGGGCATCAGGTCCAGTATGTTACTGTATAATATGGTATTTCATATTTAATCTACCCACTCCTATTAACGCATTGTAGACCCTTATACAATACATAACAGGACTGTGGAGTTCTGCTAGGAGGGCAAGTACAGACAATAAGCCTGAAATAGATTAGGGCCCTGTAGTGTCACTCTTTAAATTATCTTTGAAAGAGACCAAAGATACAAAACCTGCTTTTTACCATTGCAGCTGCATTTGCTTTTTGCACTATGCTGTGGTTTATATTAGGCACAATGTGTTGCTTTCACCATGAATTCTGGACAACCAAACAAACCAACATTTCTTTTTGCCATTTCTGTCTGCTTCTCTTCTGTCCCTTCTGTTACCTCCTGTTTTGGGGTGGACAGCTGAGGAAACATGAGAGGGATAAAACACAGTTCTTGGTTTGGATGTAGCAACAGGACATGGTTTTAAAAAGCCAAATCTGATAAGCTCTAAATAATAAATGGTGGCTTCTTATTGTGATTTGCAACTGGCAAGTAAACCATGGCTTGTGGGAATGGGCTTGGGGACAGTTACAGGCCAGAAAAATAAATTGTGGTGAAGCTTATACTTACGAATAAACTTTTTTAAATTACATTTATAAGTTGGAAGTATGTTTTGTCATTTTAGTGTCACTATTGTATACTGGAGGTTTAGAAGAAACTGTAACTCTTTCCTTCCTACTATAGCTTCCGGGAGAAAAAGATTTTGTGTCATGGCAGCATGACTTGGACGAGTCAATCAAGCCGTCCCAGCAGGCGCGTCCCACTGTCATCCGCTGGACTAATGGAGGCAAAGAAGTCTTCATCTCAGGCTCCTTCAACAACTGGAGCACCAAGATACCTCTCATTAAAAGGTGAAAAGGGGCAATCGTTGACTTTGCTCAGCTGGAGTTTGCTGTTTATGTATTTCAGAGTAGAGGCTATTCTCCCTCCATCTGTTTTGGGGGTGGGGTGGGACCCAGCTTGCTTCAGTTTTTTTCCAGTCAGGTCCCTTCTGGTTTTCCAGTGTGAAATTGTGGTAGCTGTCCAAACCAGTACATGTAGTAGGACTCCCACAGGATCAAAGGCGAGAAGCTGAAATTAGGAAGAAAAGAGCCGTGTTTGCTGAGATTGGCAGTTTTCACCAGGACCTCCCCTTCTCTTCATCTTCCCCTCCCCCCCAAAGTGACATTGCACTTGTCTGGTGTGATAACTGTGACAAGCATAATTTTTTAAAAAAATAACAAAATGGTTTGGAAGAATGGAGATACAGTGGGGTCTCTACTTAAGAACGTCTCTACTTAAGAACAATCCAACTTAAGAACAGCTCCATTTGCTAAATTTTGCTTCTACTTGAGAACAGAAATCCAAGATAAGAACAGGAAAAAAAAAACCTTTCCTGCTCTTTTTTTAACCTTAGGTCATCTTAGGTTAAAAAAAAATTCTCCCCCTAGTGGTAGAGTACGTATTAACCAGCTTTGCATTAGTTCCTATGGGAACTAATGCTTCAATGTACGAACGCACCTCTACATAACAAAAAAAACAGCCAGAACGGATTAATTGGTTTTCAGTCCATTCCTATGGGAAATTTTGCTTCAACTTAAGAATGTTTCAACTTAAGAGCACCATTCCAAAACGGATTAAGTTCTTAAGTAGAGGTTCCACTGTAGTTTCTATGGACGGAAAAGAGCAGATACGGATTAAATGGTTTTCAATGCATTCCTATGGGAAATGCAGATTCAACATAAGAACTTTTCAACTTGAGAACCACCTTCCAATAGGGATTAAGTTCTTAAGTAGAGACCCCACTGTAACTGCTACACAACTGAGGGGAACTCATGTAACCGTACACTCATGGATACCCCTGCAACCTCCCCTTTGCAACAGAGCAGGCAATCACACATACCAGGAAGCAGAGAAAAATGATGCCAGCTGAATCTGAGCAAAATCAACCCCTGCTGACTGAACAAAAACAGACGATTCTCCAGTGGGCTTCCCATGCTTAGTTTTTCATCATGTAGCCACTGCTTTTTTACTTTGATTTTATCCATGCCAAATCCAAATCAAAATGTGGGCCAGTGCAGTTGTCCCCAAACAGAGCAAAATTGCTTTTAGTGCTGATGAAATCCTTCAAATTATTCCAGAGATCTCAGGGTGCCTCTTTCATATTTCCATGCCCTTTCTGTTAATCATGTAGTGCTTAATGTGCTGTTTTAAATTTTTCTGGAAATTAATCTAGAAATGGTCCCGGCATGGGACTTGGGAAGCCAAGTAATGGAAATGAGTCGTTAGGCTTTGACTCAGAACTCATTGAGTGAAGGAAGTGCTTGATTCTCCTCTTTTGGGTCAATGCTTGAAGGCCTTACTATCACTGCAGTCTGTGAAGCCTGCACATCTCCTTCCACAATCTGTCCTGTCTTAGACAAAGCAGATCCTTTGTTCCTCACACACCAGACCACATAGAACAAGACTGCTCTATCTTTTGGGCCCATGGATACTTGTGGGATTTTTAAAAGTATCCTGGGAATGAATATAAAATGGTTACTGTGGGCACCAGCGTAGACCTGGTGGTCACAACTGGATTGCGAATACTAGCTTGGTGTCCCCAGATCTATAATTGCAGAAGTAGGCCTCCTCTTCTCCTGATTCCTTCCTCTCTCTACTGCTGAGCAGCTACACACTAGGACATATATCTAGACTGCTTCTGCTGTGGCATTAAAAGGTAAATGAAAGCAGCTATTTGGTAATTGGCTGTTTGTCCTAGGGCACCTGCTAATCTACAGTTAAGTAGCAATCTGCACTTCTGGTTTCGATTCATCCAAATTTTGAATGGTCACATGCTTTTATCAACTCGCCCCTTTCCAAGATGGATATCAGATCGCATTTTCTCTGATCCTTCTCTCTTGTTTAGCAGCCCTTTTAGGGAGTGTCTGTAACTGTCTGCATGTACTTAATGTGCACATTTTAATGAACCAACAGTAACTTCTGTGTTAGTTCCCGAGTGAAACGTTCATGAAGGCAACAGCATCCTGTTCACAGCCAAGGAGGTTTAAATCGGTCTTCATCCTTTCCTTTGCTCTTCTGGCCTTTTTGTGTCCAGTCCAAACGATGAAGAGATCTCCTTTCTTTGTGAGATGTATGCAGTAATCATGTTAGGTTGTAGGCTTCTGGCTCTCAGTCTGAATTATTGCCTCCTCTTTTAGCCACAATGACTTTGTTGCTATTCTGGACCTTCCTGAAGGTGAACACCAGTACAAGTTCTTTGTGGATGGCCAGTGGGTTCATGATCCTGCTGAGGTAATACTTGAGTTTCATATGACTGTTCTTACTTCATGAGGACTGTGACTTTACACTTTGTGTATGTGTTTATGTTGGGTAGGGCAAGGTGGCCTTGTCACTTGACATATAGTCTGCTGTCCTATTTTTCAGCCAGTGGTAACTAGTCAGATGGGGACGATTAACAATCTGATTCATGTGAAGAAGTCTGATTTTGAAGTGTTTGATGCTTTAAAGTTGGACTCCCTTGAAAGTTCAGAGACATCCTGTCGAGGTAAAGTTTTTTCAGTTGTTAATATGATCGTTCAAAATGAAGGTGTCCTATAGTTTTATTTCTTACACTTTCTGAATTCTTAATAGATCTTACTGGTTCTCCTCCTGGAATATATGGCCAGGAAATGTATGTGTATCGGGCTGAGGAGCGTTTCAAATCCCCACCAATTCTACCTCCACATCTCCTCCAAGTTATCCTTAACAAAGACACCAACATTTCGGTGAGTATCAGCTTGCAGAAGTTTTATTGTGGATCTCAAAGGACTTCACAGTTGGGAGATGCACTATTTATTTAAAGGTTATCAAAGTAGGCTTTGGATCCTACTCCGCTCAGAGTGTGAGGACCAAGGCAGCACATTCCTTCTTTTAATTAGGAACACCCAGGATGGCCTGCTACATTTGTTTCAGATACATGGGACATGAATGCATCCAGCCAGGGAACTAGAAATAGACTGGCATTTCCTTGTGTGTGTTTTTTTTTCAGTGTGATCCAGCACTTTTGCCTGAACCAAACCACGTGATGCTGAACCACCTGTATGCTCTGTCAATCAAGGTAAGATCCACACTTGGAGGACAAAGAGGGTCTCTCCCTGCTGTGTCCCTCTTTAGAACTGGAGGCTATTTGATAGAGCACCTCCAAGTCTCCTCTTTTTTCCCATTCTTGCCATGCTGGGTATTTTCTTTTTAGTGCTGTGTTTTGCTTTATTTCCCCTGAAGTTTATGCTGTTGCAAGCATATCTTAGGCAGAAGCTGAAATCCGAAGACATTCCTAGTGTCTGTGGCTAACTTCAGCTTGTTACTCTTGTAATGTGTTCTGCATCTTTGCGTCATGGACACCATGATAGTAGCATGGCCCCCTTTAATATTTCACTTCCTTCCAGTCTTTCTTTAAGTTTATGCTTCGATTTCTATAAATATGTTGGAAATAGTTTTGGAGGGAGGGAAAGTGTGAAAGAGTGAAAAGACACATGTGAAAAATCATCCTAAAAATTGTGAACATAAATCTCTTCAGTGTCTTACCGTCACTTTCTAATAACCCCTACATGGAATAGTTTTCTCCCTCCTCTGTTCTCTTCAAACTGCCACGTATTCTCTCCCATGATGACTATGTTAATGCTGCTATCTTTGCCCCCAGGATGGTGTCATGGTGCTCAGTGCCACACATCGCTACAAGAAGAAATATGTTACTACTCTCCTCTACAAACCCATCTGAGACGGGTTCCTCCTTATCACCATGTGGGCACAGAGACTGCTGCTTCGTCTGCACACATCATTAGGATGGGTCGTCTGCTTCCAGGCTGTTTTGGCAGAGACAGAAGCTCTGTACGAGGCCAGCCCCTATCTTGGTTTTACAGGCTGATAACAAACTTACTTCCTTGGCAGCTGTTTCTGCCACACAGCTTGCATCTGTCAGTAGCACAGAACCTGTAGTACCACAATTCTGGGTGGCATTGTCTCTTGTCAACTGCTGACTGTAGGGGGTGGAAAGGCTTCTTGCTAGGGAATGTCAATGGAGAAGGAGTCTTGAGTCCTTTCTGTCCTGGGCACCATCTTGCAGTCCCTGGTCTAACCCCCATCCCTCTGGCCATTGAGAGCTTTCTAGCAGTAACACAGCATCAAGGACGAGAGGACAGTCCCTGATTTCCTCTACTTAGAAACTCACCTGTTTCCTGTCTTAATGATTTTCCATTGTGACAATAAACTCTTACGCTTAGGCACTCTACCATTATGGGACATGGACAAAGGGCCCTGTCCTGAAGGTTAAATAGAACCTGTCTTGCATGCATTATTGATCATAATAGGTGTATAGACCTTCCCAGTTCAGAGACAGTATGCCACAGACTACCAACTGCTGTGGAACAGTATCAGGCTTTTGCTTTTTGCTTCCCAGCTTCCCAGGATGGAGGACTACATGGACCTCTAATCTGATACAATGGGGCTGCTCTAATGTCCTTATTATGTGCCACAACCAGCCCTTTCAGGTACACCCAGTATGGTGGTAGGAGTTTTAGTGACATGAACTCCCACACAAGTGTATGTGTTTGCCTATGCCATTGCATTGGCATATACTTCTGCTGAGTAGAATTGCAGTATTCAAAAACAAGCTTTGCTTTGTTGCGCTCAAATGGAAAGGGCTCTATAAAGAATGTTTCATCCCTATGAGACATTAGTTACGGCCAGACGTACAAACCAGCACACCCTGGTTTGAAGGAAGAGGGAAGCAACAGCAGTGGTAGGCACTGAACATACTGACTCTGGGAAGATGGTGGTCCCTTGCAGAATCTTACCAAAGTCTCATATGTTTCAGGCAGGTTCCTCGAGGAAGCTGATGAGGAGAGCAGGATAGTGAATGGAGATTCTGACATGGCTACTACTTTTCTGACCTCATGAAAGATAGGTTGCTTGCACAATTTAGAAAAATTGTGAATCGTTCTTAACAGTTTCCTTTCTGGTATTTATTTGGATTCCAGACCATTAGCTGCCTATTCCCTTCTGACCTCCTTCATGATTTAGGATAGCCCTGTTGCCTGAGGAGGAACATCTGATTGAGTAGTCGCAAAGCTCATAAGAGGCATTAGGTCTGTAACACTACAAGAAATCTAATCCATATTCACATGAGTCCTGCACCATTGAACAGAACAACTTGTCCTTTATCACTTTTAGTCTTTTGCCTTGGGATTAGGTAAGGTCCTGTTTTGGAGACGGTGAACTCCTGACCTAGAACAGGGACATCCTTCTAGAACAGAGAAATTGTGTTCTAAAGGGACAGGATTTGAGGTGTTTATTCCCTTTTTCTTAAATTGCCCGCTGTAGTCAATAGCTGTTTTTCCTAAGTTCTTTCTCAAAGCAAATGTGAGTAAAATAATCATTATAATTTTACTGAGATGCGCTTCAAATCCTGATCTGTTTGTACTCCTCCCCAAACGCTGGGGTTTGGATTGAACGAGTACATTGTCTTGCACAGACTGATGTTGCCATGTTAAACGCAGTTTGCATGGCTGTTGCTATCCTGGTTGAATTAATTGTTACTTCAGTTGGAAAGCAGTACTGCAAGAATAGAGATGTTTGATTTCCATCAATGGGCAAGAAACTAAATGACTGAACTGGTTATCTACCCCATCAGGAGGCCCAGTTGTCTTAGCAGCATGAATAGCTTCTGACAGAGTGACAGGCGTTTCCTGCTTATTTTTGTCCTCTCAGCTGCTGAGGCAGGGAGGGCTTCATAATCTACTGGCTTGGCTGCACAGCTCAAACTAACTTCTAGTTAGTGCAAGGACCACATCACTATTTGTTATGATTTTTTGCATGTCCTGTTCTCGCAGTATTAGTTTCTGGGACATTTAAAAGCCCAGAGTTTGAATATATGTTTAAGAAGGAAATATATATGGGTGTGCAAAAATGTTGTTCCAGTATGTTGTGTAAGAATGTGAGAATGACAGTTTCAGCACTCTTATTACTGTTTTGAAATCTGATGTAGACAATTCTGGGTGGGGTGGGGGTGGGGCGTGGGGAAGATGAGCACACTGGCTATATTTGCAGAATGGTTTCCTCCACCATGAAAAGGACAGACCAACCTAGCCCAGCAATCAGTAACATACATATTGTTGTAAAACCTGGAATAGCTGCTGTGGGCTGAGATGACGTAAGAAGTTGGCTGATGTCAGTAGCAGCCACAGAAGAGTTTTGTTGAAGAGGAGAAGTTGAGTGTGTAGTTCTTGATGATGTACACAATAAAAGAGTGGATGAAAGAACTAGGTGTTTTATGGAGGGTTTTTTTTTTTGCTACTTATAGACCCTTGCTTTCTATGGCAAACTCTAGGCACAAGTTCTTCCTGTCTAATCTTTGGTTTAATATCCAAAGCATTTGGCATCACACAGTTGCTAAAAGGAAGATACAGAGAAAAAGTATGACTCTAGATGGTAATCCTGCAACTCTGTGCAGTTTGGTAGACTTGGACTGCTCTGTACAGGATGTCCATAAGAGTTCTTGATAGGCACGGGACTTTCATGTTTGTTTTTTTTTGGACTACAGCTCTCTGTGGGTCCCCAGGCCCTCCACGGATAAGTGAGGTCAAAGAATTGTATGAGGTTTCCTTCACTAGACAGAAGTGCAGCTTAGCCTGAAATCAGGTACAGTAACTCTTTATTAAGGAGTTATTTACAATTGGCCTATCTGTCTTCAAAATGACTCTATGAAGGCTTCTCTGCTTCCAGTAGTCCAGGCAAGGGTGGTTCACCTTCATCCCCCATCTCCTCCATGTTCATGAGTTCTTCATCTATTGGTGGTAAGGCATAAAGTCCAAACAGGAGTTGCCCCTTGCTTAGACCTGCCAGGTGCCCCAGCTCCCTAGTGCTGGTCTGTTACTCCTTCAGGGGCAAAAGGTCCCTTTCCAGCTGTTGGAGCTGCTTGAATTGGCACTGTTCCTAGCATTGCAGTTGTGTTGGTCTTAGGGTAAACTCTGCTGCCTCCACATTCCCAGGTGGTCTGGCTTTTCCAGAATGGTCTAGACTAGGAGTCTCTGTCCCCAGCCTAGGTGGTCTTCAGGAGAGTTTCAGTACTAAAGCCTGTGCCTCAGCAAGTCTCTCTGTGCAGTCACCATTATTTACCTGAAAGAAATGGGTGGGAATGGCTAAGTTCCATAGGAGGTACAATGGATTAGGAGACTGATAGTCTCTGCTAGTTAGGCTCAATCAAAGGTGCCTCTGAAGAACTACCAAACCCCTAATTGCTCATGGCTCCTGTGGAGTTTAGCCACTCTCATCTATTTTCTTCTCCTTCAGGCAAATAATGGTGGCTCCACAGAGAGACTTGTTGAGACTCAGGTATGAGTACTGGAACTCTTCTGGGGATCTAGGTTCTTTTGGTACAGCTATCAGCATTCCGGCCATGGGAGTTCATGGTGAATTTTGGGGAACTATAGCAAAACATTTTTATTTATTTTAAAATGAAAGCCCCATGTCTACCTCTTGGTTCCAAAGCAAGCAGATTATTTTGCATCTTGCACAGTTTGTGGAAACTGTCCTTCATGAAGCTAAGCCTACATACATGTGCATGTACACAAATACAGTGGTGCCTCACTTAACGACAATAATCCGTTCCAGGAAAATCACCGTTAAGTGAAAACATCGTAAAGCGAAAATAAAAACCCTATTGAAACGCATTGAAACCCGTTCAGTGCGTTCCAATGTGGTAAAAACTCACCATCCAGCGAAGATCCTCCATACAGTGGCCATTTTCGCTGCCTGTATAGCGAGGAATCCGTCCCTAAACACAGCGGGGAGCCATTTTAATCACCTGGTGGCCATTTTGAAGCCCCCGATCAGCTGTTAAAAACATTGTTTTGCGAAGAATCGGTTCCTGAAGCAGGGAACCGATCATCGCAAAGTGAAATTCCCCCATTTAGACCATCGTTTTGTGATCGCAATTGCGATCACAAAAGATCGTAAAGCGGATTCGTCGTAATGCGGGGTAATCGTTAAGCGAGGCACCCCTGTACACATCACAAGCACAGAAGGACAAGCTTTTTACATGCAAAGATACAAACAGACTGTCCAGTGCTTCTGTTTTTAAATAGTCGATGTAAAAAATCCATGTAATAGTCCATGTAAATTTATAGAAGTGTGCAAATTCTCTCTATGGCCTTCAAAAAAGTTCTTACTGTCCTCACTGTTCCATATTTTACAGGGTAATCTCTCTGGTAGACTGCGAGAATGCTGTTGATGTAATATATCTTGACTTCAGTCAAGCTTCCGACAATGTGACCCATGATATTCCGATTAAGAAGCTTACTAAGTGTGGGGCAGGATAGTACAACTAGTAGGTTGCTTACAGAATCGTACTCAAAGAGTGCTATTGCTTATCTTTGGCTTCTGCTCAAACTGAGAGGAGGTAACAAATGATATCCACAAACTCAGTTCTAGACCCATGCTCTTCAACATTTTTATTAATGACTTGGATTAGGGGCTGCCGAGAATGCTTATCAAATTTTCAGATGGGACAAAATTGGTTGGAATAGCTAATACACTGGAAGACAGGAAAAAATTCGAAGAATTTTTGGTAAGCTTGAGCACTGGGCTGAAAACAAAATGAAAGATGGAAGATATTTGGATTATCAAAACTACGTGCAAGAAGAATCTTGGAATTGCTGGAGATCATAAGCTGAAAATGAGCCAACAGTGTGATGTGGCTACAAAGAAAGCAGCACTATTTTAGGCTGCATTAACAGAAGTATATTCTCCTCTATTTGTCACTGGTTATACCTCATTTGGAGTACTGTACTGTGTACAGTTCTGGATTCCACATCCTCTAAGAAGGATGCAGGTGAACTGAAACAAATTCAAAGGAGGGCAACAAGGATTATTGGGACTGGAAACCAAGCCCCATGAGGAAAGGCTGAAAGAAAATGGGCAGGTTTAGGCTTGAGAAAAGAAGAGTGAAAAGAGTTATGATAGCACTCTTCAAATACTTGAAGGATAGTTGTACTGTGCAGGGGGCGGTACAACTAACATCCCAATTTATGGAATACAGAGAGGCTGTCAGGACAGCCTCTCTGTATTCCATAAATTGGGATGTTAGAATAGAAAAGACCCCATCCGTCATTTGGTTCCAGTCCTTTCTTGAAGGCCACATGCAGAAAGTTCAGCTCGAAGAGGCTATAGTGGCCCCCGGGACCCTATGTTATGGGGTCCCCTGAGAGTTTTATCATTTCTCCTATGCTGATTAACATCTATGTAAAGCTGGTGATCCAGATATTTGGATGGTGTCTAAGCACTATAGAGAGAGACACAAGAGAACTGACAGGGCTGTTCCCTCTCCACCCTCCACTGCAATGCCCAAACTTCTGCCAAAGCCAAAATGGTTCTTCAGGAACCTGCGCTGGCTGGTCCTACACAGAGAAAAACAATGCGGTTTGTGTGTTAATTCCTAACAAATGCAAAGTTGAGAGACATTTTTTTTACAAAAAAAAGGTTTATTGGGAATTGAGATCATAAGAAGGGAAGAAAAACTTAATTTCTTTCTACAAATTTACGTAGAGGCTCTTTCTCCATGACATTTCCCCCCACTTAGCCCTTCACACCTTTCTTTACATCTTACAGGACTAAGAAAGGCTGTAAGGAAGACCTTCAAACCTTTTCACAAATGGTAGCTGCATTACATATAAACTGGACTACCTTTCAGCGTCCACTGAACTCCAAAGCAATGACAAGAAATCGTTTAGTCCTGAAAACAACTGAAGTGCTGAAAGGAAAGGGTGGCCGCGACCTACAGTAGTTCAGATGCAGCTTAAAAAGGTGAACATGACTAAGTGAAGAGTCTGCTGAAGCGGGCTAAGACAGCCCTCCCCAATAATCTAGCACAGTAACACTTTCAAAGAATATATGTTAAGGTCACACTTTCTGTGGCACAAGGTAAGCTGAGCCTTAATAGAACATAATACACCCTGATCTATAATTGTAACAGCATAAACAAACTTCGGCAGGACTATGCTGGAACTGACTACGTCCTGCCAAAGCATCCATGGCAGCTTTGAAGCGTATCCTTGGAGGATACTATTTTTTAACATACCCGTATCTGACATCAGTACATATTGTAGTAGTCTGGCCTAAATCTAATATTGCACTGGTAGCCTGAGTGTTTCCAAACAAATTCCAAGCTGGTCTCTAGCAGCACATGTGGAGGCAGGTGAGAAAGCAGGTCTTTATCATCCCCTTGACTCCATAGGGGGTTCGCTCTAAAGCAGCAGAAGTTAGTAGCTTCCAGGACAAATTCTGAAAGGCAGGACTTGCTGAGTTTCGGATGTCTTAAGCAGGCCTCTTCTGATGTCTGGCTTGGGTAGGAGCAGGGAATTGGCAGGAGCTGGTTTTCTTCCTCTTCCTCCTGTTCCTTCACAGTTCATGCAAGACTTATAGTCACATGATGGAAGAGATAGGTGTAGGCAGTTGACTCATTCCCTAGAGCAACAGTGCACAAAAAACAGAGGTGTTATACTCCCCGCTAGCCCCTCACAAGGTATAAATAACAGTTACCCTGATGGTGATGTGACACTTCGTGGTGAGGTGTAGGCAGAACTCAGCAGTGACCAAAAAACTGGTTATGAGGGCCTTATATGGCAAGTGCAACAGCTGCTGCCTGTTGGGGCTGGTGTGTGTGTGTGGAGATATCAGGTGGACCCAGGGTGATAACAATAGGTAGAAAAGGAAACTGAAAGCATATTGTACTTAAAAACAAAAAAACTTAAGGGACACAAAGCAAAGGTTTATTTTTGACCCATTAAGAGTACAAGAGTGTTCCTTGAACTTCATTGCATTGAACCAAACCCAAATCTTTAGTTTTCAATGTTTAATGCTGTAATATCGACTCAAATATTAGCCCCTTTACAAGCATAGTTAAGTAATATGCCTGCATACTTAGAAGTAAGTCATATTGCAAGCCAGCAAGAGCAGGAAAAGTACAGGCAAGTGCTTTTAAAATCTAAGATGAGAAAGTGAGATACTGTTGAACCTGAAACTGAGGGGAAATCCTCAACCCATCTTTTCCCCTCACAGGAAAAAAAACCTGTTGTTAGCCAGCCTTCAGTGGGATTTGAGTGAGACCAACTGGACTGAATACTTTGTAGACCCCATTTAAATTATAGGAAAAAAACTGCTATTTCCAAACTCTCTGGAATTATGATATAGTTAAAGCTAGCACTCTCTCTCTCTCTCTCTCTCCCACACACACACACACACACCAATGTACGCTTTGCTGTCAACAACATGACAAAGAAAAAGACAGAAGGTTTCTGACTGAAACTCAGTACAGTACTCAGTTTTGTCTGACTATGATTCACAACAGTTCCACATGCCTCCACTATGACTAACCAGTTCTGTCTCTTTCTGATTGATAAGTTAATTGCATTTTTATGACTTCTTCCAGTGACTTCTTCCAAGTCCCCTAGTTACTGCAGGTGGGGCAACTGTTCCTATGTAAGGCTTTGAGGCACGATTACATTCCTTAAAGCACTAGCTAATGCCTGATATGTTATCTGTGCTTGGAGAATGAAAAGGAGAAAATTTGGCTTCATTTGTGCATGCTCAAATTCATTCTGTTCACATTGGGACTTCAGCACCACCTGCTAGGAAAGTTGCCGTGTGTGCATGGTGTGCCTGCAGAGTAGGTGAAAAAACAATGTATACATTTGCTTGAGGGTTGGGTTGGAGGGGATGGGACACAACATGGGCAAAGGCCTGCCCACCATTCTCTTAATGAATCGATTGCCCTTGGAATACAAGGCTGTTGCATTTCAAGCCAGCCCCTAGTAAAGGGCTTTAGCATATGTCAACAAACATGAAGAGCAAAACTGGGCTCTGTGAACAAGATACCAGGAAGCTCTCCCAAGCCAAAGTCAAGTACTGGAGCTGGTGGTCCTACTCAAGTTGGCCATGAAGCATATCTGCAGCAGGGCCAGTGGGTTGCCCACTGCTGTGCAACTGTCTTTGTTGTCAACACTGAATTGTGAGCATAGCCATGCCTGTAGAATGCAGACAAGGAGCTACTCTTGTTTCTGCTAGCAGAAAAGAGGAAAGAAATAGCAGAAGACTAGGAAGCACAAGGTTGTTGCTGTTACTTCAGGTGAATAGCTCTTTCCTAGCTTCTGTGATTATCCAAGAGAAGTTAATAGCCACTGTGGTCTTAGTCATTTAATCATGCTACTCTAAGGAGATGTAGAAGGAGGCTGAGTGTTTTCTTCCTAATTCTACGAACTGTGCTGATTTCCATAATGTGAAATGTAATGGATATTATCCTCATGCACTATAACCCGGATGCCAGCTCAGATTTTATCATTAGAGGAGTCAAAAGCCTTGTCCAATTAAGATGGATAATAGAAGAGGATTCATGCTTCAATGGAAGGCCCTAGTGGCATCTCTTCCGCCGTGCCTTGATTGTCTGGGTCTCCCACACCATCAGAGGAGCACATGAAATTGAACATACCTGTAGGTTAGTCCTTGCTTTCCTCAGCACATCATGTGTCCTTGTCACTGTAACAGAGAAGCTGTTAGTCTTGGCCTGAACAGTTTCTTCCTGTCCTCTTCACCCCATCCCAATCTCTTGTTGATTCCTTCCCTTTACTACTCTGCTTGGAAAACCCCTTGTGAGATTTTGTCTCTTGATAGTATAAACTGCAGTCTTTAGTTTCAGAGTCGTTCCTTCTCAGGAAAACGTATGCCTACAATTGATGAAGACAGGTGGGAGACTCTCTCGTGTGCCTTCACCTTAACCTGCTATGAGAGCCCGGAGTGAAAGTGTTCACCATTGTTCAAATTCTTACCAGCAGAATCAAAGCAGGTACAGCCTGCAAACCTATTCCCTGTAGACAGAAGTGATGGTCGTGAGTGCAAAAAGCACTTTGAGGCTTTGGGAGGACTTGACTGAAATACTTAAAAACATCCCAGCATTCTTCACCTAGATCAATTTATAATTTCTGTGACTCCTTAGGATCAGCTAAGATTAAAATAATAATAATACTGTAGTAATAAACTTGATAAAAGCATGTATATTGTGTATGAGTTCTATTCCTCTCCTGCACTCACTTCCTGACCCAAAGCTTCATTCTGGAGTTTTGGATGATACGGATTCAGAGACATTTTACATTTCTGGCTGCTGTGGATTTCTCTTCACACGTGAATCCGCACCAGTTCAGACTCATAGCCTGGAGAGAGAACCTAACCAATTCAGCATTTATGCCTTGATTACCAGAGCCAGCAAGCCATGACTCTTTGACCATCTCCCAAAAGGGAAATTACTTACGGTGAGTAAAGAGGAAGTTTTCCATGCTTTCCTTAACATGCCTAGCAGTGTGCAGATGACTCTCTTGCTCAGCCAGCTTAGCTTTCAGCACCTGGATCTCCTCCTTCATTGATTGTTCCTGAAAATGATATTGTTATTATTGATTTGTAGAGTGACTGCAGTAAACTATGCATGAAAAACAGAAACAAAATTTTAGAAGACTGGCTATCATGCAGTCATGTGAAAAAGAAGCACACCCTCTTTGAATTCTGTGGTTTTATGTATCAGGGCATAATAAAAATCACCTGGTCCTCAGCAGGTTGAAAATTAGGTAAATAAAATCTCAGATGAACAATGACACTCAACATATTACACCGTGTCATGATTTATTTAACAAAAACAAAGCCAAAATGGAGAAGCCATGTGTGAAAAACTAAGTACACCTTATGATTCAATAGTTTGTAAAACCACCTTCAGCAGCACTAACTTGAAGTAATCATTTTCTGTATGGCTTTATCAGTCTCTCACATCACTGTGGAGGAATTTTGGCCCACTCTTCTTTCCAGGGATGCATCAGTTCATTGAGGTTTGCGGGCATTAATTTGTGCATAGCTCTCTTAAGGTCCTGCCACAACATTTCAATCGGTTTGATGTCTGGACTTTTACTGGGCCATTGCAATACCTTGATTCTTTCCCTTTTCAGCCATTCCACTATAGATTTGCTGGTGTGCTTGGGATCATTGCCTTGTTGCATGATCCTGTTTCAGCCAAACTTTAACTGTTGGAAAGATAGCCTCACATTTGACTCTAAAATACTTTGGTATACACAGGGGTTTATAGTTGACTCAATGACTGCAAGGTGCCCAGGTCCTGTGGCTGCAAAACAAGCCCAAATCATCACGCCTCTACCACTGTGCTTGACAGTTGATATGACTTGTTTCTGCTGATATGCCAATTGTGGCACTGTGCATTATGACCAAACATCTCCACTTTGGCCTTGTCTCTCCAAAGAACATTGTTCCAGAAGTCTTGTGGTTTGTCCAGATGCAAGTCTGCAAACCTTAGCTGTGTTGCCATGTTCTTTTTAGAGAGAAGAAGCTTTCTCCTGGCAACCCTTCCAAACAAACCATACTTGTTCAGTCTGTTTCTAATTGTACTGTCATGAACTTTAACATGTTAACTGAGGTCTATATAGTTGGAGATGTCACACTTGGTTTTTTTGCAGTTTCTCTGAGCATTGCATGGTCTGACTTTTGGGGTGAATTTGCTTGGATGTCCACTACTGGGAAGATTGAGAACTGTC